TGGAGGGATGGAGGAGTCTGGAGGGATGGAGGAGTCTGGAGGGATGGAGGAGTCTGGAGGGATGGGGGAGTCTGGAGGAGGAGGAGTTGGAGGGATGGAGGAGTCTGGAGGGATGGAGGAGTCTGGAGGGATGGAGGAGTCTGGAGGGATGGGGGAGTCTGGAGGGATGGAGGAGCTGGAGGGATGGGGGAGTCTGGAGGGATGGAGGAGTCTGGAGGGATGGAGGAGTCTGGAGGGATGGAGGAGTCTGGAGGGATGTAGGAGTCTGGAGGATGGGGAGTCTGGAGGGATGGGGGCGTCTGGAGGGATGGAGGCGTCTGGAGGGATGGGGGAGTCTGGAGGGATGGAGGAGTCTGGAGGGAGGGGGAGTCTGGAGGGTGGAGGAGTCTGGAGGGATGGGGGAGTCTGGAGGGATGGAGAGTCTGGAGGGAGGGGAGCTGGAGGATGGAGGAGTCTGGAGGGATGGGGGAGTCTGGAGAGATGGAGGAGTCTGGAGGGATGGGGGAGTCTGGAGGGAGGGGGAGTCTGGAGGGATGGAGGGTCTGGAGGGATGGGGGAGTCTGGGGGAGGAGGAGTCGGAGGGATGGGGGAGTCTGGAGGGATGGCGGAGTCTGGAGGGATGGAGGAGTCTGGAGGGATGGAGGAGTCTGCAGGGATGGGGGAGTCTGGAGGGATGGAGGAGTCTGGAGGGATGGAGGAGTCTGGAGGGATGGAGGAGTCTGGAGGGATGGAGGAGTCTGGAGGGATGGGGAGTCTGGAGGGATGGAGGAGTCTGGAGGGATGGGGGAGTCTGGAGGGATGGAGGAGTCTGGAGGGATGGGGGAGTCTGGATGGATGGAGGAGTCTGGAGGGATGGGGGAGTCTTGAGGGATGGAGGAGTCTGGAGGGATGGGGAGTCTGGAGGGATGGAGGAGTCTGGAGGGATGGGGAGTCTGGAGGGATGGGGAGTCTGGAGGGATGGAGGAGTCTGGAGGGATGGGGGGAGTCTGGAGGGATGGAGGAGTCTGGAGGGAGGGGGAGTCTGGAGGGATGGGGGAGTCTGGAGGGATGGGGAGTCTGGAGGGATGGGGGAGTCTGGAGGGATGGGGGAGTCTGGAGGGATGGAGGAGTCTGGAGGGATGGAGGAGTCTGGAGGGATGGAGGAGTCTGGAGGGATGGGGGAGTCTGGAGGGATGGAGGAGTCTGGAGGGATGGGGGAGTCCAGAGGGATGGGGGAGTCTGGAGGGGTGGAGGAGTCTGGAGGGATGGGGGAGTCAGAGGGATGGAGGAGTCTGGAGGGATGTAGGAGTCTGGAGGGATGGAGGAGTCTGGAGGGATGGGGGAGTCTGGAGGGATGGAGGAGTCTGGAGGGATGGGGGAGTCTGGAGGGTGGAGGAGTCTGGAGGGATGGAGGAGTCTGGAGGGATGGGGAGTCCAGAGGGATGGAGGAGTCTGGAGGGATGGAGGAGTCTGGAGGGGTGGGGGAGCTGGAGGGATGGGGGAGTCTGGAGGGATGGAGGAGTCTGGAGGGATGGAGGAGTCTGGAGGATGGGGGAGTCTGGAGGGATGGAGGAGTCTGGAGGGATGGAGGAGTCTGGGGATGGAGGAGTCTGGAGGGATGGAGGAGTCTGGAGGGATGGGGGAGTTGGGAGGGATGGAGGAGTCTGGAGGGATGGGGGAGTCTGGAGGGATGGAGGAGTCTGGAGGGATGTAGGAGTCTGGAGGGATGGAGGAGTCTGAGGGATGGGGGAGTCTGGAGGGATGGAGGAGTCTCTGGAGGGATGGGGGAGTCTGGAGGGATGGAGGAGTCTGGAGGGATGGGGAGTCTGGAGGGATGGGGGAAGTCCAGAGGGATGGAGGAGTCTGGAGGGATGGAGGAGTCTGGGAGGGGTGGGGGGAGTCTGGAGGGATGAGGAGTCTGGAGGGATTTGAGGAGTCTGAGGGGATGGGGGAGTCTGGAGGGATGGAGGAGTCTGGAGGGATGGGGGAGTTCTGGAGGGATGGAGGAGTCTGGAGGGATGGAGGAGTCTGGAGGATGGGGGAGTCTGGAGGGATGGAGGAGTCTGGAGGGATGGAGGAGTCTGGAGGGGTGGGGGAGTCTGGAGGGATGGAGGAGTCTGGAGGGATGGGGGAGTCTGGAGGGATGGAGGAGTCTGGAGGGATGGAGGAGTCTGGAGGGATGGGGGAAGTCTGGAGGGATGGAGGAGTCTGGAGGGATGGAGGAGTCTGGAGGGATGGGGGAGTCTGGAGGGATGGAGGAGTCTGGAGGGATGGAGGAGTCTGGAGGGGTGGGGGAGTCTGGAGGGATGGGGGAGTCTGGAGGGGTGGGGGAGTCTGGAGGGATGGGGGAGTCTGGAGGGATGGGGAGTCTGGAGGGATGGAGGAGTCTGGAGGGATGGAGGAGTTCTGGAGGGATGGAAGGAGTCTGGAGGGGTGGGGAGTCTGGAGGGGTGGAGGAGTCTGGAGGGTGGGGGAGTCTGGAGGGGTAGGGGAGTCTGGAGGGATGGGGGAGTCTGGAGGGGTGGGGAGTCTGGAGGGGTGGGGGAGTCTGGAGGGATGGGGGAGTCTGGAGGGGTGGGGGAGTCTGGAGGGGTGGGGGAGTCTGGAGGGGTGGGGGAGTCTGGAGGGGTGGAGGAGTCTGGAGGGATGGAGGAGTCTGGAGGGGTGGGGGAGTCTGGAGGGATGGAGGAGTCTGGAGGGATGGAGGAGTCTGGAGGGGTGGGGAGTCTGGAGGGGTGGAGGAGTCTGGAGGGGTGGGGGAGTCTGGAGGGGTAGGGGAGTCTGGAGGGATGGGGGAGTCTGGAGGGGTGGGGGAGTCTGGAGGGGTGGGGGAGTCTGGAGGGATGGGGGAGTCTGGAGGGGTGGGGGAGTCTGGAGGGGTGGGGGAGTCTGGAGGGGTGGGGGAGTCTGGAGGGGTGGAGGAGTCTGGAGGGATGGAGGAGTCTGGAGGGGTGGGGGAGTCTGGAGGGATGGAGGAGTCTGGAGGGATGGAGGAGTCTGGAGGGGTGGGGGAGTCTGGAGGGGTGGGGGAGTCTGGAGGGGTGGGGGAGTCTGGAGGGGTGGAGGAGTCTGGAGGGGTGGGGGAGTCTGGAGGGGTGGGGGAGTCTGGAGGGGTGGAGGAGTCTGGAGGGATGGAGGAGTCTGGAGGGGTGGGGGAGTCTGGAGGGATGGAGGAGTCTGGAGGGATGGAGGAGTCCTGGAGGGGTGGGGGAGTCTGGAGGGATGGAGGAGTCTGGAGGGATGGAGGAGTCTGGAGGGGTGGGGAGTCTGGAGGGGTGGGGGAGTTCTGGAGGGGTGGGGGAGTCTGGAGGGGTGGGGGAGTCTGGAGGGTGGGGGAGTCTGGAGGGGTGGGGGAGTCTGGAGGGGTGGGGGAGTCTGGAGGGGTGGGGGAGTCTGGAGGGGTGGGGGAGTCTGGAGGGGTGGGGGAGTCTGGAGGGGTGGGGGAATCTGGAGGGGTGGGGGAGTCTGGAGGGGTGGGGGAGTCTGGAGGGGTGGAGGAGTCTGGAGGGGTGGGGGAGTCTGGAGGGGTGGGGGAGTCTGGAGGGGTGGGGGAGTCTGGAGGGGTGGGGGAGTCTGGAGGGGTGGGGGAGTCTGGAGGGGTGGGGGAGTCTGGAGGGGTGGGGGAGTCTGGAGGGATGGGGGAGTCTGGAGGGGTGGGGGAGTTCTGGAGGGGTGCGGGAGGCTGGAGGGATGGAGGAGTCTGGAGGGATGGAGGAGTCTGGAGGGGTGGGGAGTCTGGAGGGGTGGGGGAGTCTGGAGGGGTGGGGGAGTCTGGAGGGATGGGGGAGTCTGGAGGGGTGGGGGAGTCTGGAGGGATGGGGAGTCTGGAGGGATGGAGGAGTCTGGAGGGATGGGCGAGTCTTGGAGGGGTGGGGGAGTCTGGAGGGGGTGGGGGAGTCTGGAGGGGTGGGGGAGTCTGGAGGGGTGGGGGAGTCTGGAGGGGTGGGGGAGTCTGGAGGGGTGGGGGAGTCTGGAGGGATGGAGGAGTCTGGAGGGGTGGGGGAGTCTGGAGGGTGGGGGAGTCTGGAGGGGTGGGGGGTGTCTGGAGGGTTGGGGGAGTCTGGAGGGATGGGGGAGTCTGGAGGGGTGGGGGAGTCTGGAGGGATGCTGCGGCCGTGTGCCGGCAGGCGAGCGACGTGGACATCAGGTGACGTGGAGGAGAGGGGCTTGGGGGGGGGGGTTAGAGAGGAGGAGGGATGAGCGATGCAGGCCTCAGGTGAGACGCGGGGTGGGGGCGTGTGGGATGAATCGATGAGCAAGAGGGAGGAGTGGAGAGAGACAGATGAGGGAATCGGGCAACAGGTAAGGATGACGACAACAGGGAGGGAGAGGAGTGGGGGGGGGGCATGTGGCGAGGTGATAAGAGAGGGGTGGAGGTGAAGGATGTGTTCAGTGTCGGATTAATCGAAGTGCGGGGCCTGTAGCATGATGTTATAAAGGGGCCCTAAATTAAATATAAAAAAACACGTAAATATTAAAACACATTTTTTTACTTGCATTGTAAAGTAATTGTATTTTTTTATTTGCTATACGGCCAGATAATACGACAAATCGATAACCTTAAACACCCACTCGTTCGTTAAAGTTGAAGGCGTTATAGTACTATAGTAATAGAGCAAGTGCAGAGTCACCAAACCCGAATTGATAGCTTTAAAACATAGCGCGGGGCCCTTGAAAGTGCGTGGCCCGTAGCTGCATGTGTAGCTACTTGTGCTACTGGGATGATCGGGCACTGGGTGTGTTGCTGAGAGCGACGGAATGAGGAGAGGTGGGAAGCCAGGAGGAGGAGGGGGGGGGGGATGGCGGGGATGGAAGGATGAAGATCTTCCCACAGGTGGGGCTTTTCCCCTCCTACACCCCTCCCATGACACCTCGATTATCATATCGTCTCGTCTTCCGTAATAATGTTCGTCGCTGTGACTTCCCTCCTCCCCGCAGTCTCACTAAAGACTCCCACTATTCCCCCCCCCCTCCTATCCTCACCGTACTTCCCGAAACTCTCTCGCCACCAAACCACGTAGCTACGTTGAGGCCGGGCCCGAGCCGGCCTTTGGCGACGTGGAGCAGTGGACCAACCTGCCACTGGAGCCAGACGTGGGCGCCGTACTGGTGGCGTTTGACGAGCACTTCAGCTACATGAAGCTCATCAAGGCGTGCTGCTACCTGGCACGCCCCGGGTGCCTCTTCCTCGCCACCAACCGTGACCACGCCGAACTCGTGGCGCCGGGGCGCGTGCTGCCCGGTACGCGGTGGGGAGGGGGATGAGACTCGGGGCTGTTATGGGTGAGACACGGGGCTGTTGTGGGTGAGACACGGGGCTGTTGTGGGTGAGACACGGGGCAGTTGTGGGTGAGACACGGGGCAGTTGTGGGTGAGACACGGGGCAGTTGTGGGTGAGACACGGGGCAGTTGTGGATGAGACACGGGCAGTTGTGGGTGAGACACGGGGCAGTTGTGGGTGAGACACGGGGCAGTTGTGGGTGAGACACGGGGCAGTTGTGGGTGAGACACGGGGCAGTTGTGGGTGAGACACGGGGCAGTTGTGGGTGAGACACGGGGCAGTTGTGGGTGAGACACGGGGCAGTTGTGGGTGAGACACGGGGCAGTTGTGGGTGAGACACGGGGCAGTTGTGGATGAGACAGGGGGAGTGTTAGGACACTCATTTTCAGAGGGGAGGTCACTTTCGCCGATAAGACATTGCGTCGGTGTGAGTGGACCCCGGCCACACCGTTTGAAACCATTGGGGGTTTGACAGCAGCACGACGACGATTATTGTCGGGGGAGGGCCACACGTCAGGGGGGCCACACTGAAGGCCACCAGGGGCTGCCATTGGCCCGTGGGGCCTTGCAGTGAAGAACGCCGCCTCGGCAGGAGGAGTCATTTGGTGGAAGTGCGACGCTAAAGCCGATAGAAAGCGGCGATCCACTCGCAAACACAAAAGTCAAAGGTCCCCCGCACAGCCTCGATGGACGGTTGGGCAGGTCAAGTGCTGTCGGCGAGCGCCCGGTGTATGCTCGTGTGTCGAACTTCTTTGGCGCCGTACGATAGCCAACCGTGCTAATCGACGGCTTGAAACTAAACGGGGAAGTATAATGTCAGACACCGTGACGCCGAAGCGCGGGGGCGCCCCCCCCACCCCCCAAGCGCGGGGCCCGGGGCAGTCGCCCAGATTCGACGTAGCCGAGGGAGACGGCTGTGAGCGATGGTCAGAGTTGTCGGTTTTTTGTCGTTGTTTACTCGCCCTGAGGAGGTCGAGCGTACTGCCGGTCAAATCGGTGGGGTGGAGCGGGAATGGTGCACAAATGGGGTGACACTGACAAGCAGAGTTAGGGTCACGCACACACAGGTGGGGGCGGCGGCGGTGATGATGGTGGTGATGACGGGAGGGTGGTGATTATAATGATGGGGGGCATGGGGGCGATGATGATAATGGTGGTGGAGGGGAGCGGTGGTGAAGATGACGTTGACGATGACGGGGGGGGGGGGGGGGCGCTGATGATGGGGGCAGCAGTGATGGTGAAAAGTGGGGCAGCAATGATGAACACGATGGGTGGTGGTGGTGGTGGGGGGGGGGGGGGGCAATGACAATGACGTCGATAGCGACGACGACGACGACGACGACGATGACAAGGAACGTCCGCTCGCTCGCCCTCTCGCTCCGCGCAGTCACGGGCAGCCTGCTGGCGGCGGTGGAGACGGGCGCGGCGCGGCAGGCCACGGTGCTGGGCAAGCCGAGCCCCTTCATCCTGCGCTGCATCGCCGCGACGAGCCCCGGCGGCGCCCTCGACCCGGCGCGCACGCTCATCGTGGGCGACCGCCTCGACATGGACGTGGCGTTCGGCAACGCGTGCGGCCTCCGGAGCGTGCTGGCGCTCAGCGGCGTCTCCAGCCTGGAGGACGCGCGCGGCTGCCTCGCTGAGCCCGCCCGCCGGCACCACGTGCCGGACTTTTACATCGAGAGCGTCGCCGACCTGCTGGGCGCGGCGCAGATCCAGGCGAACCCCGGCGCCGGCGAGGAGGAGGGGGAGGGGGAGGACGACTCGGATGGCGGCGTCTAAAGAGGCGGTGGGGAAGGTCGGGGCGGGGGGGAGGGGTGGGGGGAGTGATCCGGCGATTGGTGGTGGCGGTGACGGAGGTGGCGATGGCGGTCATGTTGGTGATGGTGGCGGCAGTCATGTTGATGATGGTGGTGGCAGCGATTGGTGTTGATGGAAATGATGATAGTTGTGGTTCGTGGCGGTAGTGATTGGTAGACGTAACGATGGTAGTGATGGTTAGAGTGGTGGTGGAGACCCATCACTCAGACCCATCACTTTGACCCATCTCTCAAACCCATCACTCAGACCCATCTCATAGAACCATCACTCAGACCCATCACTCGCACCCATCTTATACAACCATCACTCACACCCATCACTCGTACCCATCTTGAACAACCATCACTCACACCCATCACTTAGACCCATCACTCTGACCCATCTCATACAACGATGGTAGTGATGGTTAGAGTGGTGGTGGAGACCCATCACTCAGACCCATCACTTTGACCCATCTCTCAAACCCATCACTCAGACCCATCTCATAGAACCATCACTCAGACCCATCACTCGCACCCATCTTGAACAACCATCACTCACACCCATCACTTAGACCCATCACTCTGACCCATCTCATACAACTGTAGTGTACTAATTCAGAGACACGATTAGGAGGCGTTAGCCCTCTTGTTTATTCCGGCTGTCACAGCCATAGGGGATAACTCCATACCGGGTCGGGACAGCCAACATGCTTCCAGACCCACACCTTGAAGAGGCGAAGACCACGACGACTATTTACTATTTAAAGTTGTATTAATTTCTCAACCATGGACAGTCCACTGTCCCGGACAGCCAAAAAGAACCATGACCACAACCCGCACAAGGGATCTTTACGCGATATCAGGAGCCCTTGCCACTCCCCCACACATCAAGTGCACCGATTACGAAAAAGGAGGAATATTGCCGTCTTAATCACAACATTTTGGAGCAAGAGTTCGCGATACTCCGGAACCAACAGTCCAAGTGAATCCTGGCCGCGTTTGGGTGCATCAGCCGAAAGGTGGCGGTCAGTTCGAAATCCTTAATCAGCCCGTTTAGTTTCCTGGAGGAAGGGTCAAGTTTCCTGCCCCCCAGGATGCCGGCTGCACATCTGCCAGGCAGAGCGGGCAATAAAAATCCCTCCTCCACCGACCTCCGTTCTCCAGGTGGTCGCGTCGCTGCCTTCGCCGTCTCGGCAGCAGCCGACCCGGCCCGGTTACCTTGTCTCGCCCCGACAGCGTGGTCGGTCTCCATGCCCCTCGCCCCAGAACTGGCGAGGCAGCCTCTGGCCCGACTGGAAGTCGGAGCTCGCCTTTTATCCTCCCCAGCGTGGCCAGGCCACGCTCCCTTCTGGATCCCCCAGAAGGTTCCGGGCTTGGTCCACGGGTCCAACTGGTAGAGTGGGCTGCTACCCCCAATTCTATTGTCGACCAATCTCCCAGCGGCTATCGCTACAGTGACTCGTTCAATGTCACTACACAACCATCACTCAGTCCCATCACTCACATATCACTTCGACCAATCTCATACAACCATAACTCAGTCCCATAACTCAGTCCCATCACTCAGTCCCATCACTCAGTCCCATAACTCAGTCCCATCACTCACACCCATCACTTCGACCCATCTCATACAACCATCACTCGGTCCCATCACTCAGACCCATCTCATAGAACCCTTACATAATCCCATCACTCAGACCCATCTCATAGAACCCTTACACAGCCCCATCACTCAGATTGCTCCGTTCACAAGTGAACTGAGACTCCCCTTAATCCCGTGGCTTTCCCGCCCAAGGTCTCCCCGCAGGAGACGGTGCAGCAGTGGCCGTCCAGTCGCTCTCCTTGTTCGGGTGTTCATAATCGTGTTCCGCTTCCTGTCCGTTTACGTTCCGCGATGTGCGCGCGCTTGCGCATGAGCTCGACGTGGTCCACTCCAGAGCGCTGTAACTGCTGCACTGCCGCTTGCGAGTGGTTTGTGGTGGCGCTTGAGCTTACGAGCACTTGCGCTTGCAAGCGGTTCGTGGCGCGGCTCTTGCGCTTGCGAGCGGTGGCGTAGCGGTTATCGCGCGGCGCCACGAACCCGCTGGGGCCGGGTTCGATTCCCGCTCACGGCCACTCGCCACCCAGTGAGGATTAGCTGCACCGGTCCTAGGCCTCACGTAGGTCGACTCGGCCTCAAATGAGCACCTGGTGCGATGTGCGAGCATCGCCACTCGGCGTTGGCCACCCACCCCCTCGTGTGTCGTGCCAGCCTTCATAGCTGCTCGCCTAACAGCACTTGCCCCAGCAGTCTGTTAAGGCTATACGGGGGATCTCTTGTCTTTGTCATCTTGGTCATCATCATCATCATCTTCGTGGTCGCCTTCGACACTTCACGTGGCCTCGGAGTGCACCTGGCCTGGCACAAGCTCCCGTGGCGGCAACGTCACCGCCACTTGGTGGCGAACTGCGGCGGCTGCTGTTGTTGTTTGTTGTCGTCGTCGTCATCGAAGCACCGCGCGGAATACGAGTCGCGGTTTAACCTCTGACCTTCGACACTTTGCGGAACGCTGCACTTTGCCAGGCCGGCTTGTGCGGACCATGGATTTATCGGCGCGAGACACCGCCACTGGAGTACAAGGCGACGCCTCTACACGAAGAGGATAATGCAAATTAACCTTTATAATTATACCCTACATTCTTATAATCCTGCGGAACTCGTTTAGAGCTAAACAACAAAAGTGGACGGCACAAAAATCAGGCGGGGGAGAGGAATTGTGGCTGGGTGGCAGAACCTAAAATAGAACTTCTCGGAAAAGAGCGTTTCGGACGCCGTTCTGGCCGAGCTAAATCACACTTTCCGGGCTCAGCTATGCCTCGTTGTCAACAACAATAACAACATGTCGAGTCGTCGATTACGAAGGGAGGATTCGGCAGCGCAGCGGTTTAATTTTGTCGATTCATCTCTCCCACGTCCACACGGTCGGGCGGTGATGTTTTATTTATTTCACAAGGAGTGAGGGGCCAGGGTTCTGGGCAGGGGGGGGGTCTCCTTGGCTGGGGGGTTCTGGGCAAGGGGGGGGGGTCTTCATCATTGTCAGATATAATCACCTGGTGCGCGGTAAATGTCGTCAAGTCTGTTTAGCGCTTCCTGAATATTTTAGGCTACGCGTGACGTTCGGGGGTGCAGCGATGCAGCAACGATGCACGGAGTCGGTCGAGCGATTGGTTGATCGGGCGGTCGATCGATCGGTCGATCGATCGGGCGGTCGATCGGGCGGTCGATCGATCGGGCGGTCGATCGTGCGAGCGGTCGATCGAGCGGGTCTGTACTTTACAAAACGTGCCACGGTGGCGATGAAACGCGCCGCCACGAATCGCCGAGCACAAATCGGCGCTTCAAAAGTCTGAGGGAGTCCGTCACCCCCCCCCCCCCCACCCGGCTCTGCCGTGAGCAACCGGTCGAGCAACCGATTGCAAGGCGGTCCACGTGGAGGGCGATGCGCTTGACACACGCAAGCCCAGCCGATCCGCGTGCAACTGGACCTTCGCTTGGCGCCTTGGAACCAGTGCCGGATGAAGCTAAGTGCGGGGCCTGTAGCATATTGATGTTATAAAGTGACCCTAAAAAAAAAGACATATTAAAACACAAATTTTAAACTTGCATGGTAAAGTAATTGTATTTTTTAATTTTCGATACAAATCGCCAACCTTAAACGCCCAGTCGTTCATAAAAGTTGAAGGCGGTATAGGACTATATAGTAACAGAGCAAGTGGAGAATCACTGAGCCGGAATTGATTGCTTAAAAGCATTTAGCGCGGGGCCCTTGAAAGTGCGGGGCCCGTAGCTACATATCGTAGCTACTTTTGCGACGTGGATAATCCGCCACTTCGAAGAACATATGTCACACCACAGCGCTAAGTTTAAATTAAAACAAAAGTCGATTCCTCAATTGAATTACGCACGAAACGCATCGTTACACCCTCTTAGAAGCGGGGGGGGGGGGGGGAGTATTTTAACATTATTATTAGCCTTCGCCAAATCGTCCTAAAGTAACCGTGATCATAATGATAATAATAAGAATATTTGTTGTAACAATGTCTATGGTACGGTGATTATATTTGTTAACTTACCCTGGGCAACGCGTTTAGAACCTATCTGGAGCCACACCCCTTACGGGTGTGGGAATATTTGATGTGAAGTGGGGGGGCGGGAGCCGGGGGGTCAATTGGGAGGGGGGTGGGGTTGACCGATATTGTGCCCCACCCCCCCCAAATGAATATCCTTGGCTCTGTGGATTCCCCAACCTCCCCCGCCCCCCCCCCCGCCCAAATATTAAACATCAACTGCTCCCACGCGCCTGCAGACGAAGCTACAGGGGCCGTGGGCGTTCTTCTCGCAGCTGTTAAAGATGCCACGGTGTGTACCGCCGTGACGATGCCGTGATGTTACGTGTGTGGTGATGGTGGTGATGTGTGTGTGTGTGGTGTGTGTACCGTATTTATTGATTAAAACATTACAATAACCCTCCCCTCCGGCTTCCCCTCCCACACCACCCCCCCCCCCAAAAAAACCACAACCGATAACCGATTTTTGTTGACATTGGTGTGCTTTGGGGGGCTTGTCACAAACACGAGTGGTCTCCCAGCGGTCACAGCACGGCGTCGAACCCCTGTCCCACCACCGGACGTTAGCTACCGCCTGGAGCGAGACGAGGAATTACGTGGGCCTGGAATCCGCGAATTTCCCCAACCCGTGACGCGCAGAGTTCACCAAAACCCCTCCCGCGTTGCAGTGCAGCGACGCGCGTTAAGATTACATCCGCACGGGGTGAGTGGGGAGGGGGGGCATTCAGGCGTTCACCTTGCCTCTGGCACCCGTGTGGGAGTGTGCTCCCGATTCCTCTCACGGGCATATAAAATACGAATGCGTGGGGTTGGCCCAGTGGTCGGCAACCGAAACAACAAGAGCGGACACATTTTTTTTTCAAATTCGGTCACAAAGTTTTAAAGGGCACGCGATGTCAATAGCCGCAATGCGCGTCGTGAATACGAGACGGTGGTGGTGGTGGTGGTTGGTGGTGGTCCTTCGTGAGCCGCATGCTGCTCCGCAGCCACAGGTTTTCCAACCCCTGTCCATGGTAAACTGGACTTCATGGTAAACTAGACTCACATGGTGAACTGGACTCACATGGTGAACTGGAATCCCATAGTGAACTGGACTCACATGGTGAACTGGACTCCCATAGTGAACTGGACTCACATAGTGAACTGGACTCACATGGCGAACTGGACTCCCATAGTGAACTGGACTCACATGGTGAACTGGACTCCCATATTGAACTGGACTTCCATAGTGAACTGGACTCACATGGCGAACTGGACTCACATGGCGAACTGGACTCCCATAGTGAACTGGACTCACATGGTGAACTGGACTCACATGGCGAACTGGACTCCCATAGTGAACTGGACTCCCATAGTGAACTGGACTCACATGGCGAACTGGACTCCCATAGTGAACTGGACTCCCATAGTGAACTGGACTCACATGGTGAACTGGACTCCCATAGTGAAATGGACTCCCATAGTGAACTGGACTCACATGGCGAACTGGACTCCCATAGTGAACTGGACTCACATGGTGAACTGGACTCCCATAGTGAACTGGACTCACATAGTGAACTGGACTCACATGGCGAACTGGACTCCCATGGTGAACTGGACTCCCATATTGAACTGGACTTCCATAGTGAACTGGACTCACATGGCGAACTGGACTCACATGGCGAACTGGACTCACATGGTAAACTAGACTCACATGGCGAACTGGACTCCCATAGTGAACTGGACTCACATGGTGAACTGGACTCACATGGCGAACTGGACTCACATGGTGAACTGGACTCACATGGCGAACTGGACTCCCATAGTGAACTGGGACGACCGTGGTTAACTGGACTTTCATGGCCAAAGGTCGCAAACAGAAAAAAAAAACCAAGCGAATTTGTTTCGAATTTCAAGATCCACACTGCAGTCCTTAACGAGCCGAAGGTTGTCGACCCCTTGCCCGAGTTTGCCAAACGTTCCAGTATAGGACCATAGAGTGTGGGTAATTGTTGGGTGCCGGTTCTGGTCATCTCTCGGCTTGTCCGTGATTTTCCACGCATCTGGATCGGTTATACTTTCTTGGGAGTCATTGTTAATGCTGCTGCTCCTGCGTTGCCAGTGGTGTACAAACACAAACTAAATTAAAACAAACTTCATTTTTTTTATTTTACCAGGTAAGGCCCCACGGAGCTACAGCATTCTTTTTCAGAAGCGACCTGGCCACAATTGACAGCTCAACGAAAGTGACTTATTATCACCATGTGGGAATGTATAGCAGCCAAACTCGAAACGCGTGTTTCTTAATGTGTGGGGTCGGTGGGGGGGGGGGCACCGGAGGACCCGGAGTAAAATCCACACGACCACGGGGAGAGCATGAAAACTCCAAATATACAGCAGCAGCAGCAGCAGGCGTCAGGGTCGGGATCGAACCCATGGCCTCCTGTATACCACGCGAGGTAGTCAACATCTCATAGCCACCGTGGCGTCCAAAAATGACTCGAATTCCTCAAAACCAGTGGCACACCCGAGGTGATGACATTTGCAACCATGCAGAATTGCGCACCGGTGAGGCGATGAGATTCGCATATGAATCGGTGGAGTCGCTGCTGGGACCCTTTCGACTTGGCCGAGACTGAAGAGGCGAAAGATATTAACGGGTGAAGCCGACAAAGGCGGGAGGGCAGGTGAGGCAGAGGGCGCAGACCTCCGAGGCCCTGCTCACCTCCCATCACTCCTCACCTCCCATCACTCCTCACCTCCCATCACTCCTCACCTCCCATCACTCCTCACCTCCCATCACTCCTCACCTCCCATCACTCCTCACCTCCCATCACTCCTCACCTCCCATCACTCCTCACCTACCATCACTCCTCACCTCCAATCACTCCCCACCTCCAATCACTCCCCACCTCCAATCACTCATCTCCAATCACTCATCTCCAATCACTCCTCACCTCCAATCACTCCTCACCTCCAATCACTCCTCACCTCCAGCCGATCGCACTTCCCACGAGGAGGTAGGCGAGGAGGTAGGTGACGAGGTAGGCGAGGAGGTAGGTGCCGAGGTAGGTGACGAGGTAGGTGAACGGGTGGGTGGCGGGCGGGGGATCTTTCCCCCCCTCCCCCCAACTTTAATTGCCTCCATTCTCTACGGGTTTCATAGAAATTCAACTTCCTTCGCTCTGGTTGTTGTTGTTGTGGTGACGACGACGAGCGTCTTCACGGGGGGGGGGGGACAAGCAACTTGGGAGGCGGTGGCGACGAGACGGGGCCGCGGGGGGGGGGGGACGCGAGGGGGGGAGGGAGACGCGAGGGGGGGAGGGAGACGCGAGGGGGGGAGGGGGAGAGGGACGCGAGGGAGGGGGACGCGAGGGGGGGAGGGAGACGCGAGGGGGGGAGGGGGAGAGGGACGCGAGGGAGGGGGACGCGAGGGGGGAGACGCGAGGGGGACGCGAGGGGGGGGGGAGGGGGACGCGAGGGGGGGAGGGGGGGGGGCGTCTCCCCCCGGGTCGGGCCGCAGCGTTCTCGGCCTCCTGCCACCGGTGAAGCGTGCGGCGGGGGGGGTATAGTGTGGGGGGGGGGGGGTATAGTGTGGGAGGGGGGGTATAGTGTGGGAGGGGGGGGGGAGTATATAGTGTGGGGGAGTGTAGTGTGGGGTGTGTAGTGTGTGGGGGGGGTATAGTGTGGGGGGTGTGTGTAGTGGGGGCGGGTGGGCCCCGAGACCCACGGGCCTGCGGGCACGATCGTGCGCGCCAGACGTGGTGCGACTCGCGCCGGCTTCCACCGTGAACCCCGCTGCTTTGAGACGCGGAAGGCGATCGCAGTGGACAGGAATCGTCGCCCGGTGCCCACTGGGGACTCGCTGCCCAGCCGGCACCGCGCGCACGACGCTCTCAGAAGCAACGCGCTCGCCCCAGACGACCCCCCAATCCTCTTGGTCCCCGTCGCACTGCACAAACGCGCTCGCTCGCTCGCTCCCCGCAAAACCCACGTGCCAAACCCCCAGGTTTTATATAAACTGTTTTAATACGGAACAACAACAACAACAAAAAACCCCACCGACACGTGCAGCAACTGTTGGTTGGACAAACAGAGCCGTGGACGTTTCGACGGCGCAAAGCGGCCACTTTTTTTGGTGGCCAATCGCCAAATGCGTCGTTGGTAGTCCACGAGGCGCCCCGTCCGTCTTAAAAAGGCAAAGTCGCCGCCACAAGTCCGTGCTGGTAGATGCCAGAAAAACGCAACACAGAGGGGGGGGGCGAGATGCCAGCGCCGACGGAGACCCATCACGCCCGTTTCTCGAACGTCGGGTGCTTTTTTTTTTAAATATATAAAGTCTACAAGTTAGAATGTTTAAGAATGTCGATAACCAAAAAAAATAACATATACGTATACGTTACATTCAGCCGCGTAAAGTTAAAGTACAGTCACAGCCGCAATATTGCTATTTAAAAACTCGATATTCTAACTAAACGTGCGACCCAAAAGGCCTTAAATACAAACGCGTCACCTTCTCGACCCGCAGGGCGGTCCTGAACCACCCCGGTCACAAAGGCCAAGGGAGCGTCTCTCGGGAAGTTCGTTGCGTTACGTTGGCGGCACGGCTCGCCTCCTGAACGGCACTGGGCTGGCTCGGCACGGCCCCAGCGCTCCTCGGTTGTAGTGGAGAGAGGTATTAGCGACACTGAAATCGACTAAACAAAAAAACACAACAACCCCAAACTCGAGTGCGTACATGAAGCGTGGGTTGGCGCGCGTTGGTTTATGTTTGAATTATGAGCTTTGGGGACCACATGGCGATACGCCACTGAAAAAAACTTCTTGAGATAAGCCAAGTGCTGGTCAATGCAGCACAATTCGGATGCGGCCATTCGTGTCTGTTCGGGACGCTCCACTGTCGCACGAGTGTGGGCTGCCAAGCAAAACGACTCTGAAGCAATTCTAACATGACTTAAGAGGGGGAGGGGGGGGGGTTAATAGCACTGCCCTAATAGAAAATCTAACAGACAACGTTTCGGGCAATGTCCCTTCTTCGTAGCACAAGTCACAATTTAATCGTTGGAGAATGTTAAGAGCAACAATAATTTACAAAAAAGGGGTTAAGAGTTTTGTTTACAACACAACCAAAGGGGGCTAACCGGCCATCTGAAAGCCTGAAGAGTATCGATTCCGGGCAAAGCTCACGGCGGCTGATGAACCGGTCATTGCCCAAAAAAAAATAAAAACGTCGCCTATTATTCTACACGTTTTCCCTTTGAGGCAGCGCCATTGACGAATGCGCTTAGTGTCGTTGGTCGCGCTGCCGCACCGCTGCCAACGCAGGCAGCAGCATCATTATAATCACCACCAACATGGTTGTGTGGCACTCGCGAATGGGATTTGGGCGTTTCGCTTCTGCCAGCGCCAACTATTGTGACCCTCACGTGATCGTGTCCAAGTCTGGCAACGTTCGGATGACCCCCCCCCCACCCCCGCTCAACAACAAACAAAAATGACGCGCAGACGAAGCCACCGCACACAAGCGGGCGGTGTAGACACGTGCAGTTTTTACGCACACAAAACAAAAAAGTGCCATTTGACAATTACAGAGGGCGGTGAGAGCCAGCGATGAGAACCTGTCGGGGGGGGGGGGGGGGGGGCTTGGTGTTTCCCCTCCCCCCCCGCCCACCATTGGGAAAATTGCAGTACTTTTTTTTCCTGAGAAAATCAGCGGCCCCTGCCCGGGTGGAGGAAAGGCCGATTTGATTTGTGAGATCGCGCGCACACGTCCGTGACCACCTTACACGGGCAGTGGCGGAAAGTTCGATTTTGGTTTTTGCTTTCAACCAAAATAATCAACAAACGGCGTTGTTGCCGGCTGAGCAGAGGTTCCCACTGCCCCTCCCCCCCAGGGTTAGCGTCTTGCCTCAGGAAGAGGTGAGGGGAGGGTGCTGCCTGGATCTGACCTTTGACCCTTGTGTATGGGAGAGCACCGGCCCGATGAACCTTGGGTTCGATATCAGTGTAGGAGAAATTAAAAAGGGGCAATATTTATTTTTTTTAAAGCAAAACAATTCACGACTTTTTTTTGTAATTCCTGTTTTAACCAGTGCCCTGAATTTCAGCCGGAACAGTCCAGGAATTATTTCCGGAACGCCTCATCAATCTTTACCCATTTAGGTCACAATTTTGTTATAACAGGATTACAGTCAACAATTATAGATGATTTACGACGGACAAGGCGTACCTAAGTGGTGGTATCTTACGCCAATAATATAATCGCTACTCCAAGCCGGGCCCTCGCAGCGTTTTCGAATAATACCGAGGGCGCTGCGGTGTCAAATGCGGCAGGTTCGCGCGATCCACCCATGCATGCATCCGCCGCCAGTGGGCTGCCACATTCGCTGCAATGCGTATTCATGCGTGCGTAATGTATATTATTATTGTTGTTACACTTCCGACTTGGCTCTCCCGATTCTGGTCGACTCATCACGATTGCACAGCGACCAGGCTTTGCTCTATGGGAGACGGAGCTTTTTGCAGCCAGATTGTGGAACTCGCTCACCCCCCCCCCCCAGCCCATTTGAGAGTCTGTTATACTTTTTTAAAGTTGCGTCTTAGACCTCCCCTGGTTGTACACGCAGGCCTTCTCCGTAACGTAAGCTTTGTGTAATGCGCTTTGGGGCCTTGTGTGAATTGCGCTGTAGAAAATCGAGTTTATTGTTGTGATAAAATGAATGGAATCGATTTCTTCAATCGAATTGCAACCCTGAAATGTTGACGGCTGACGGAATTGTTGGGATGGGAGGGGCAGCCTTTAAAATGGCGTGAGGCTAGAGGGAGCCAAACAGGAGGTAGCTATGGAACTCGGCAAGTTAATATGGAGGTCAGGAAGGTCAAACAGCATCCGCTGCGAGTAGTTCAATTACCCAACCCCAGGCTATCGCACCTTCTGGGGATCACCCGAGACGACATTTTAGAAGATTCTAAAACAAGTGTCCACAGCCATAGATCTGTGTGCAATAGTAGGGCATGTGGGGGGGGGGGTGGAGTGGTGGCACAGCAGTTAACGCACTGTGTTAACATCATTGTAAAGTATTTGGCCACGTACAGAAATTATTATCTGTAAAGTAGAAAAAAAACGCATCTAAAATGAATGGCCTTATCCTAGGCCAATGTTTTTCAGCAGCACATGCTTTATACAGGCAAACTCTGGAGAGATTTCAACGTCTCTTGCATTTCATCAGCAGGGTGTGGCCTGCTAAACAAACACTGCCGCGCTTCCTGATCATGCAGGAAAGAGCACTACCCCACCCCCACCAACACCAACACCATGGGGGTCCCCCGTTCAATGCAGTAAAGCAACGCAGTACATAACACAATGTAAAGTTTTGTCAGCACATGGATGGGGAGGGCGCAGGGGAGGGTGGTGGCAAGGCTTCGCTGCGTTGTCCCCCTGAATGAGATCCGCCGAAGAGCGGTCGGACTTGCCGAGCAACGTAAAATGAAAGTCGCCCGCGCGTTCAAACGCGTCGCACAAGTCGCACGTGACCGGGCCGAGCCGTCATTGTACCTCTCGTTTTGGTTTTTCAACGTCGATGCCGGAGGAGCGCCACCGCTGGGGGGCGAGTAATGCTGTGAATTGAGGGTGACGGAGTATGGCAGCGGTGGTGGGGGCTGTCAACACCACGGAGATCTGACGGACTTCTGTCGTGTCGGCTTCACGCACATTGTGCGGGTTTTTTTTTTTTTGGCTTGTAGAACGAAAAAAAAAGTGTGACACACGCGCGCGCACACACACACACACCGATCGACTCGCACAGACTAAAACGAAATACGGAAGGTGAGAATTGTAACAGCACGAGCGGAGGAGTGGCCGCATTTGTGCGAGAGACGGGCGAACGTGGGCAGTGTTCCGTCCAGCTAAAACACGCGCACGCTCGCTTGAGCAAACGGCACACGGTAGGTCCCCCCCCCCCCCCCAATGCGGCGTGATCACGTCCGTGGGGACCACGACAGTCCGCAGTAGAGAGAACACCCAAATTGCTTGAGCAGCTGTCCCCCAGATCGGGCGGGGGGCAGTGCGGGGGGGGGGGTGGGTGGGTGGCGGGTAATGGGTCCAGGTGCATCGTGGAAGGTTGGGTTGAGGACACCCAACTGACCCCGCCGCTCACACAAGCCCAGCGTCCCGGGCCATGGATTGGAAGATGCCTCTTCGGGCGATGAGGTTGGTCGGGGAGTCGAACTCTGCTATTTGACCTTTGTCCAAGACGATGACCCTGGCGCGTGCAGGCAACGGACAAAACGAAACATTCCGCATGTAAATTTTGATTTAAAGCTTTCGTGACTGCAGCAATTCATATTCTTAGCTCTTTCGGTAAAGTCACGTTGAAGGGAAAGAGCTAACTAAGAACATTCCGCATGTAGTTGTACAGACAAAGACAACGGCGTCCATTGGTGTAACATTTACTCAGACTGTTGGGGCAAGCGCTATTTGTGAGCACCTAATTATGGCTGGAGCCGGCACATGATAGGGTGGTGGTGGTGTGGCCGGGGAACCACATCCTGCCCTGCTGCGTTCGTCTTCCCAGTACCGTTGTTTACACACCGCACCGGGTGCCGCACGATGGCGCCGGCGAGCGATGGCGAGCGATGGCGAGCGATGGTGAACACAGTGCGGTCCCGGCAGTGCGCGAGCACGGCGCGGTTGCTCACCGGGTGTAGTCCATGATGGTGTTGAGGCGGTGAGCGATGGTGAGCACCGTGCAGCCCTGGAATTGCGTGCGGATCGTCGTCTGGATGAGGTCGTCCGTCTCCAGGTCGATGGCGGCCGTCGCCTCGTCGAGCACCAGCAGGCGCGTGCGGCGCAGTAGCGCACGCGCCAGGCACACCAGCTGCCTCTGCCCCACACTGCACGTGGGGGGGGTGGTGGGGCAACCGCACACGCATCGTGTTAAACCACACGCACCGCATGCACACACGTTAAGCTGCACACCACACACGCACCGTGTTACACCACACACACACACAAGCACCCGGTTAAGCTGCACACCCACACATTCACCATGTTACACCACACACACCACACACACCACACACACCGTGTTACACCACACACACACCGTGTTACACCACACACACACCACACACACCGTGTTACACTACACACACACCACACACACCGTGTTACACCACACACACACCACACACACCGTGTTACACTACACACACACCACACACACCGTGTTACACTACACACACACCACACACACCGTGTTACACCACACACACACCACACACGCACCGTGTTACACCACACACACACCACACACGCACCGTGTTACACCACACACAAGCACCCGGTTAAGCTGCACACCCACACATTCACCATGTTACACCACACACACCACACACACCGTGTTACACCACACACACACCACACACACCGTGTTACACTACACACACACCACACACACCGTGTTACACTACACACACCACACACACCGTGTTACACCACACACACACCACACACACCGTGTTACACTACACACACCACACACACCGTGTTACACTACACACACCACACACACCGTGTTACACTACACACACCACACACACCGTGTTACACTACACACACCACACACACCGTGTTACACTACACACACCACACACACCGTGTTACACTACACACACCACACACACCGTGTTACACTACACACACCACACACACCGTGTTACACCACACACACACCACACACACCGTGTTACACTACACACACCACACACACCGTGTTACACTACACACACACCACACACACCGTGTTACACTACACACACACAAGCACCGGGTTAAGCTGCACACCACACACACGCACGCCATAAGCACAGGGTTTAAGCGACGCACCACACGTACCGTGTTTAAACCACTGGCACACAAATCGACAAATACGACTGCTCGCATACTCAAATATCGTGTCTGTTTATCTCCCCTTATCTCTCTTTGTCTCCCCCGTGCGTCTCTCTCGGTCTGTCGGCCCGTGTCTCTCTCCGTCTCCCGTGTCCGTCCTCCCACCCCCCCCCCAACCTCCCCTCGTCTCTCATCCCCCCCTTGTTGTTCTCTGTCCGTCGCCCGCGTGTCTCCACCTCAGGTTCTCGCCGCCCTCGCTGCACTCGTGCTGGAGCTTGTCGGGCAGCGTCTGCACGAAGGCCTTGAGGTGCGACAGCTCCAGCGCGCTCCACACGTCCGCGTCCGAGTGCCTCCCAAACGGGTCCAGGTTCATGCGTAGGGACCCGGAGAACAGCACCGGATCCTGCCGGGAAACCGCGACTTCGGGCATCAGCGGACGACCATCGCCACCCCGACGGACAAAGCCATTACATGATTTAAACTAAACAAATTTTGTTTTTTTAAAGTAAGGCCCACTCAGCCATGTAGCTCTTTTTCAGAAGCGACCCGGCGATCACAAATGATAGGCCCAACGAAGTGGCTCATCGCGTGGAAATTCCATTGCAGCCAAATACTTGAAAGGCGTGTTTCTGTATGTGGAGTGAAAAATCGGAGGACCCGGAGAAAAATCCACACGACCAAGGGGAGAGAGAGAGAGAAACATGCAAACTTTAAAATATACAAGCGTCAGGGTCGAGCCCACAACCTCCTGCGTACCAGGCGAGGGAGTTATCATCTTGCCACTGTGGCAGGTCCACGAAGATATCCCAGACACCCTCGACGGACGCCGAGCAGTGACGCGAACGCCGAGGAGGAGTTTCGAAAAATCGGCGCGCCGCGCTTTACCCAGCGGTGTCATTGGCGCTCACGCTCGGCACGCTACGCAGCGGGGTGCCGACGGGCAATGTTAACCCCGGATCTGTACGCGGGATGCAATGGCTTCACCGTCGCCCATTGCGGCTGCCCCTACAGCAGCCACCAGAGGCACCGTATGGTCCCATGCACCCACGTGACCCCAAACCCTCTGTGACCTTGTGCGGCCCTCTGCTTTTTGTCTTTAATTTGTCTTTCACCAACACCTCCGATTAGCGCGGTTGGCCACGTACAGTGCGCGGAAGGAGTTCACCATACATACGTCACAACCTATCGTTTACCTCGCCGCTTCCCCGGTGCGACCCTGCGACCACCCCCGTATGCTCCCAAGTCCCCTTACGTAGCCCTACGCCACCCGGGGTGAGCCCACACGCCCCCCCCCCCCCCGCCCCATGTGACCCGAGGCACAAGCGCTCGCCTGTGGGATGATGGTGATGCGAGAGCGCAAGTCCTGCAGGCCGATGGCGCTGATGTCGACGCCGTCGATCGCGATGCTGCCGTCGGCCGGCTCGATGATGCGGAAGAGGCCCAAGGTGAGCGACGACTTGCCGGCGCCAGTGCGGCCGACGATTCCCACCTACGTACGCGCGCACAGATGATACGCAAGAGGTTTTTTTTTTTGGGGGGGGGGGGGGGCGGGGTTGGATCGCGTAGATATTTAAATGTGCCGTTAAACCCGCGACAGCCCGACACAGCCGATTCGTAAGGTTCTTCACGTAAACGAAATGTGCCAGTTTGTTCTGTTTACGTGACAAACCTCACTAAATGGCTGTGTCGGGTGGTGGTGGGTTTAACGACACATTTATATATTTATGCGATCTAACCCAAAACACCTGCATTATGGATGATATTGGTCACGAAAGCCTACGTCATAAAAACCACCTACCTTCCCATAGTTGTCTGTCCGCATAAAATAGTAGAAGTATTTTTCAGGGAACCCATGGGTTGCCACGGCCTTTACCAGTAGCTTCGATGAAAGAAAACTCAGGGTCTGTTCATCATAAAGGTTTTTTTGGGTTAGATCGCGCAAGTCTAACGGTGCCATTAACCCACCACCGCCCGACGCAACCAATTAGTAAGGTATTCACATTATCGAATGGCCCAGTTATTTACTTCAGCACACCGGGTGTGTTGGAGAGTAAACCCACAGCAACATCTACAAGGAGTACGACGTTTCGCAAGTAATTACAACTAGAATTATCAGGCGGCAGCCAGAGAGATACGCACGTGCATCCATTGAGGGATACATACACATAGCAATATATGCATACATGCACGGAGAGATGCATATATACAGAGATGCCCCCACATACACAAAACGTGCACAACATAGAAATACGTAAAGACATGCACCCATAGAGGGATATGCGTGTATGTTGAACGTCTTTCACACTGTACATACGAGAGATATGCATACACGCACAGGAAGACACACACAGAGATGAACGCATGGTGATGCACACATACGCACAAAGATGCATATATAGAAAGATACACAGATATATACAGATACACAAGACTAAGACCTCCCCTGTACAGCCTTAACAGACTGGAGCAAGTGCTGTTGGTGAAAATCTCATGAAGGCCGGCACTGCACACGAGGGGCCGGGGGGGTGTTGTTGCCAGGACCACCTCTAGGCTGTCTTCGTCACCCTAGCGGCGATATTTACACACCATCTGAGGCCGAGTCGTCGACTTAGGGGAGGCCCATACACGCACAACCCAACACACATTCTACGTGTATATTGATGATGATTGTGGTGTGTGTGTGGGACATTGCCGCCGCCGCCCACGGCCGCCGCCCACGGCCGCCGCCCACCTTCTCTCCGCCCTGGATGGTGAAGCTGAGGTTCTTGAGCACGAGGTCGAGGCCCTCGCGGTAGCGAACGCTGTAGTTGGTGAACTTCACGCAGCCCTCGTGGGGCCACTCGGCCGGGGGGCGGTGATCCTCAACCACCCACGCCGCCTGCACGCGTGCGCAGCAAGACAAGGATCCCACCCATAGCTTGAACAGACCGTTGGGGCAAGTGCTGTCAGCGTGCTGCACCTGCGAGGGGGTTGGGTGGCCAGCAGCGCGTGCGGCAGCCCAAGTCTGCCCAGTTGACACGTCGCAGCAAGTGCTCATTTAGAGGGGAAACCCTCCCCCCTCCCCCCCCCCCCCCCCCCCCCCCCCCCCGTTCGGGACCGTTTCAGATAAATCGTCACCGACATTGGCCGAGAGCGGGGATCCAACTCGGCTCACCGGGTTCGTAGCGCAGCACGCTAAAAACGCGCGTGCGTTAAATTGTGCATACATGCGTGCGTGCGCTTGTGCACCAGCATGTGTGCTCGTGTCTCTGTGCACGCGTCCATGTGTGTGTACGTGTGTGCGCGTCTGTGAGTGTGCACGCGTGCGTCCGTGCGTGCGAGACCTCGGTGGTCTCCTCCGAGTACTCCTTGATGCGCTCGACGGCCACGATGTTGGTTTCCAGGTCGGAGGACATGCGCACCATCCAGCTCAGCGACATCGTCACCTACGACACGCACGGCCGCCCCCACTCATTAGCACCGGCCAATCGCATTAAGAAGGTGCAATGGGAAAGGAAAGGCGGATTAGAGGCCCATCATAGGCTCGCACAGAGAAGCATGGCGGTCACACCGAGACCCACAGACTCACACAGACGCATAGATCCACAGAGACCCATAGACTCACACAGACGCATAGATCCACACGGAGATCCGTAGACTCGCACAGACGCATAGATCCACACGGAGACTCGTAGACTCGCACAGACGCATAGATCCACACGGAGATCCGTAGACTCGCACAGACGCATAGATCCACACAGAGACCCATAGACTCACACAGACGCATAAATCCACACTGAGACCCGTAGACTCGCACAGACGCATAGATCCACACAGAGACCCGTAGACTCGCACAGAGACCCGTAGATTAGAGGGGCTATGGAGATGCCTCGCAGTGCAGGGCCGAAGGAGTAGAGGAAGAGGCCGAGGGCGAGGTGGGAGGATGTGGTGGAACAAGACACGGAGAGAACGGTGGACGTGAGACGAGAGGATAGAAGCACCACTGAGAAAGAAACTCCGAGCGGCCGACCACACTCGGTGACTAATCTAAATAACAAACTATTTCTATTTTATATTCTTAGCTCTTTCGGTAAAGTCACGTTGAAGGGAAACAATGAAATAATAAAATATATATACAACAATAAAAATTCTCACGTTTCGACCATAACACAAACGGTCTTCACCTGATTCTCACGACGTTTCGACCATAACACAAACGGTCATCATCAGGTGATGACCGTTTGTGTTATGGAATTTTTATTGTTTTATATTTATTTTATTATTTTATTGTTTCCATTCAATGTGACTTTACCGAAAGAGCTAAGAATATGAATTACTGCAGTCACGAAAGCTTTAAATCAAAATTTATTTCTATTTTACCAGGTAAGGCCCACTGAGCTATACAGCTCTTCGTCAGAAGTGACCAAGCCAAGAATGATAGCTCAACGAAGTGCCTTATCATGCACGTTACCACGGGGAGAGAGAACAAGCACACTCCAAATTTACAGCGGACGTCAGGGCTGGGATGGAACCCACTACCTCCTGCATACCAGGCGCGGTAGTTAACGTCTCGCCGCCGCAGCAACTCCAGCAATGGGACTTGTGGCTTAGGAGGAGTCGGGATGGGACAAGCCCCGGTTAGGGTGGGGGGGCGTGCAGGTAGCAGGGGGGGGGGGGGGGGTGGAGATGGCCGCACCTGCAGGGCGTAGGAGATGGAGAGGCCGACGAGGCCCGGGCTGAGCGTGGAGCGGTAGATAACGGCAAAGAGCGCGGCAAACAGCACCACGCAGTTGCCCACAAACTCCAGGCGGATCGCCAGCCACCTGCAAACACGGCGGCAAGGACGAGCCCACCCACGCCCAGCGTTAGCGAGCAGCACCGATTGAAGGCCGTCGGCACGGTGCGGCGTTGGGGTGGTGTGGCCGCCACCACGCCGGGCCGGCTTTGTCACCCTAGTGGTGATGTTTACGCATTCCCCCGGGTGCTCGAGTCGAGCGTGTGTCGCGTACACCGTGGTTTGCGCGCGTGGCGTCTTGACGGTTCGCCTGCGCGTAGGATTGTGTTTAGCGCGCTCATGTCTGTGCGTTGGTGCGCATGTGGGCTGTGCGTGGGTGCACGTGCTGTCGCGTGTTCGTGCGTGCGTGGGTGCACGCCCGCCCACCGGTTGGAGATGATGGTGGGGTAGTAGCTCTTCTGGTTCTCGTCCACCTTGGTGTCGCTCAGCAGCATGAAGCGCTCGCACGCGCCGTACGCGCGGATCACGCCGGCGCCCAGCACCGTCTCCCCGAAGTGCGAGTAGACGGGCGAGCGGCTCACCGATTCCAGCCGCTTCAGCTGGCGCGATGACGCCACGTAGAACCGCTGCGTGCCAGCCAGCAGGGACGGGCGGACACGCGTACGCGGTGAGAGACGGGCGGACACGCGTACGCGGTGAGAGACGGGCGGACACGCGTACGCGGTGAGAGACGGGCGGACACGCGTACGCGGTGAGAGACGGGCGGACACGCGTACGCGGTGAGAGACGGGCGGACACGCGTACGCGGTGAGAGACGGGCGGACACGCGTACGCGGTGAGAGACGGGCGGACACGCGTACGCGGTGAGAGACGGGCGGACACGCGTACGCGGTGAGAGACGGGCGGACACGCGTACGCGGTGAGAGACGGGCGGACACGCGTACGCGGTGAGAGACGGGCGGACACGCGTACGCGGTGAGAGACGGGCGGACACGCGTACGCGGTGAGAGACGGGCGGACACGCGTACGCGGTGAGAGACGGGCGGACACGCGTACGCGGTGAGAGACGGGCGGACACGCGTACGCGGTGAGAGACGGGCGGACACGCGTACGCGGTGAGAGACGGGCGGACACGCGTACGCGGTGAGAGACGGGCGGACGCACCCACAAGCAAATAGACGGATGGAAGAATGGTCAGTCGGACCGCTGCCCATTACCTTATTTTATACAGGCGCGTCTCGCTGAACGAGCGTCCTTTCTACGAAAATGCTACGGGCAAGTGACGCATTTGATGTTTCATTACTTCATTTTAAAATGACAATTTGTGCGTCTCGCGTGAACAAAAAGTTGTTCGAGACATTTCGGGGGCCGAAACGTGACTCGGCTTATGCCATGCGAGTCGGTGGGAAAACGACGATCGTCGAGCGAATTTTCGCTTAACGAGCAATTTTCGTGGAACGTATCTGGCTCCTGTATCTACAGAGCGTCCCCCTTTAGTCAAGGCCCTTAACATAGTTGAAAAAGCTGGTATAGTAAAAGCAAATGATTTAAATGACGGGGGGGGAGGGGGGGGGGGGCTGAGGAAAGGTTGACCACGACAGACGGTGCGCGCACGCATCGGGCGTTACAAAAGGGGTAGGGGGGGAGGGACGGGAAGGAGTGGAGGGGCGACGAGGGAAGAGAAGAGGCGATGGTGGTTAAGAGGTGACGCTTTAAGAGAGGAAGGGAGAGAGGTTAAGCGGGGGGGGGGGGGAGGGATAGAAGAGAGGGGACTGCTGCTTTGTGTTAAACGCATCTCCTGCAGCGACGAGAGCTGCTCATCCTCCGGGGCGACTGAATTCCGGACACGGGCACGGAGACTCCACGGGCAGCGCCGCCACCGGCGACGCAAAAACCGGCGCGAGAAAAAAAAAAAACCGACGACGCCCCCCCCCGCCCCGCCCCCCCGCCCCCCCGCCCCCCGCCCCCCCCCCCCGCCAACTCCCAACCCGAACCCAAACCTGCACGAAGAAGTAGATGGCGCCGAGCGGCAGGAAGGCGAGCGCGGCGACGGGCGTGGCGAGCAGGATGACGGCGAAGACGGCGAGGACGTTGCACAGCGTGCCCAGGAACATGCGGACCACGCCGGGGATGGTCTCGTCCACGGTGTGGACGTCGCGCGAGAAGCGGTTCACCAACGCGCCGGTCGGCGTGCGCTCGAAGAAGGCGGCTGGGCAGTGCAGCACGCGGCGCAGCATCGCGTCATGCAGGTGGCGCGACGCCAGCACGCCGCCGAAGCTGATCGCTATCGAGGAGAGCAGCGCGGCCAGGCCTGGTTGTGGGGGTGCCGCGGGGGGCGCGCGGGGGTCAGAGGGCAGGGAGAACGGCGGAGAGCGACGCTGCGTTTGACACGCTCGCGAGCATTGGACCAAGGGGGCGTCCCCCGGGGGCGGGGCTCGAGCACGCGCCCCCCCCCCTGCGGCGAGCGGGTGGGCGAGACGGCGGCGGCGGCGGCGGGGGGGGGGGGGGGGGGGGTGACTGACCCTGCGCCCCGCCGAGCGCCCCGTAGACGCCGAGGCGCAGCTCCGTGCCCGGCCTGCTCGTGTCGTTGAGCTCCGCGTCGTTGGCCCACTCGCTGAGCCACACGTTGGAGCCCACGGCCGCCGTGTTCTGCGTCAGGTAGAGCAGCGCCACGGCCAGCGACAGCGGCAGCCCCACCGAGCGCATGTACTCCAAAAACACCGACAGCTTCACCTGCAGTGGCGCGGGGCGGCACGGGAGGGGGGCGGGCGGCAACGGGAGGCAACGGCAAGGGAAGAAGGCATCGTCGGCAACACCCACCTCATTCATGATCGTCCTTATCGTCAATATCAGCAGCAACGGCAGTTAGGTTTAGGACTGGGCTATGGCAGGGTCGGGGCTCGCGTGCGGCAAGGGTTGGGCTGTGGCAGGGGGTTAGGGTTTTATTGCAGGGCAGGGTTGGGCCAGGGTATGGGGCAGGTGGCAGGGTGGAGTAACGGTTAGGCTATGGCAGGGCCGAGCTCGGGTCACCATCAGGGCTATGGCGGCTATGGTCCGACTTGCGGAGAGTCGGACGCCACACCTGGCACCGCTGCCACTCACCCTTCCCGTCTGCGCCGTCTCCGTCTGAATGATTTTCTCGCCGGGCAGCGCCGCCACCGTGCCGTCCGCTTTCCTCTTCCTCAGCTCCGTCTCGGCGCCGCCCGCCGGCCTGCTCGCACCGGCACCAGATTTACCAAAACTGCCGGAATGTGACGACGAATATCCCGATTATCAGTTTCCCATAACGCCCCTGTGCGTTTCTACGATTAGGTGCGAGCCAATCAAGCTACGCGACTCTGGTAAAAGAAGACAAGTTTGGCTATCCATTCACGCGCAACACGGGTCCCGATTGATCGGCACCGATGAGCGTCGTTTGAGCTCCGGCCGTGTGCGTTGGGCGAGTGAGCGAGAGCGAGGCGGGCAGAGCGTGTGGACGCCGGGGTGGACCCTCACCTCGTCAAGTCGCCCTTAGCTCCTCCAGCCACGGGTGACTCGGGCTCCATTGCTGGGAAGGACAGACGGTCGGTGGACGTTACCCACGCGCATATGTCAAACGCATATGTCGGATACATCTCGCACGCACACACACACACACGCGTACGTGGAGAGCCCACCGCTAAAAACCAAAAATAAACCAGCAGCATGCGCAAAAATATTCTCCCAAAGGCAATGCCAACAAAGCGCGCAGAATGGTAACCTGACAAACGAGCTGTATTGTTTAAAGAAAAGTCAAAGTGCTTTTGCCTGCTCGTGCAAGCGTGGGGTTTAGCTCCCGTTTACGGTGTTGAACCAGCGGTGGAAATTCCACATTCTTATAGCAGGGATGCGTCCAGCCAGTGGACAACCACTACGGACTTCCATTTCTATAGACCACGCAATGTGCCGAGTCAACCCACGACTGGCATATAAACCTTCGATTGCTGTACCACCTGTCCATTCAGTTCAGTTATCCTCATAGTCATTTTAATATTTACATTCGGAGCCTTTGTTATGAATCCACTGATGGATGATGACCTCCCTACACCACGACCATACTTCACAGACTTGATCACTGCGGGAAGGATGAAGGGCTGGGAATCAAACTCAGGCGGCAAGGGGTCATAAACCCATGGAGAGATAGCAAGGATGAGCGGCTCTGGCTCATCGTGTGACAGCGGTGCAAACTCTACGGACATTATTCTATTATTCTTTAGGTCTTTCGGTAAAGCCACGTGGATAGAAAAATAATACAAAAATAAAAATATCACGACGTTTCGATCGCAACACAAGCACTCGTCATCGAAATGTCGTGATTTAATTTTTTTTAATTTTTCTATCCACGTGGCTTCACCAAAAGACCCAAAGAATATTCATTCCTGCAGTCACGAAAGCTTTAAGTAAAGATTATTATCATTGGTTCTCTCACAAAAACACGGTAAAAATTAAATGCTTTAGAACAAGGGGACAGCAACATCAAAACCTTTAGCTTCACTTCCAAAGCCCTTAAAAAAGGGAAAAAACAGCCCTTCGCAAACCGGCGGCAAGCTGGGATAACCGCGCAGGTTCCCGCGGTTGTGCCGCACCGGCTCTCCGACGTGCCTCCGGGTTGTACCGCGCGCGCGCTTGTCCGGCGGCACGACGTCCGACGTTTCGCGCTCGTTTCGTTTCGGCGAGAATCTCCCGGCAGCACGCGGAGCGAACAACGTCGGACGTCACTCGCTGGGACGACGCAGCGGTACGACCCGAGGGAGCCGGCGTGACGCTTTTAAGCAGGCAGCCCCCCCGGCACAGCATTCCGAGTCGCCAAAAGCAAGAGCAATGGATTCTCAGGACTCTGTGGCACTCCGCCGGTGTGAGAGCAAAGAGCAGCGGCTCACAACTGTTTTTTTTTTGGTGGCCATGGAGCTTTTGTTCAAGACTACATGGGAATGTCGCATTTTTTTCGCTTTTAGCGATCACGTCCCCATGGGCGGGGGGGTGGGGGTCCTGAGAAGCCACTCCCGCTCGATGATTTTGGCGCTCCTGCAGAAACGAACCTGGTACCGCTTCCTCTCTGTCCTCGATAGATTCCAGGGAAACGGAGCCTTACCATCCCCCCCCAACCCCACGGAAGGAGGAGGAGGCGACGGACGACGACGATGACGGTGGGGAAAATGACAAAAAAACAAAATAAACACAGAACACGGTAACAAAAAGAAGAAGAGAAGAAGACTTAAGGACACGGGGATAAAGTCACAAACATTACAGGCTTGCGAGTACGAAGGATATGACCACAAGGAGTGGGGGGAGGACTGCAGAGGCAGTGAATAAGAGACAAATAGACCACAGGGAGTAGGCGGGAGGGCTTTCGGAACAATTCACTTCTACCCACGAGTGCTTGCCGCCCTGTGTCCTTCTGTTCCGTCTCATTTGCATCGTTCGTCTCGTAGATTAGGTAAAGTCTCGTAGGTAAAAAATAAAACAACAAAAATCACCTACGTGACTTTACCCAATAGAACCAAAGAGTATGGATCCTTGCAGTCACGAAAGCTTTAAATCTAGAATCGTCTCGTAGATTCTTGACCGATTGGGGCTCGGTTTCATTCGTCCCGTTAGGAGAGCAGCGGCGACCTGCGCACACTTTTCACGAGCACGGGAAAGTGCTGGAGGGTGTGTGGGAGGAAGAGAGAGAGAGAGGAATAGAGACGGGGAGCACCGAACAGGACTGGTGAGAGAGAGAGAGAGTGCTGGAGAGTATGCGAGAGGGAGGGAGAGAGGGAGGGTGCACCGGAGAGAGTGCGCGTGTGTGTGTGCGCGTGTGTGTGTGTAAGAGGAGAGGAGGAGGAGGCACTCACGGCTGTCGTCGCGCCCAGGCCCCTCCTCCGCCTGTGCGTAGCTGCGCAGGAACTCGGCGAAGGCTCCGTTGCGCTGCTGCAGCTGCTGGTAGGAGCCCCGCTCCGACACGCTGCCGCCCACCAGCACCACGATGTCGTTCACCTGCGGCAGGAAGCTCAGGCCGTGCGTCACCAGCACGCGCGTCTAACGGGAAGGGTGGCGGGGGCCGAAGTGGGGGGGGGGGGTGGGGTGGGGTGTGGCGGAGGGGGGAATTGGAGATGAGAGGGGGTTAGTGGGGCAGCAGAGGGGGGGGTGGGCACATTGCCACGGCGCTTGTGCCAGTAGGCTGCGTGTACTTCAAGACCACGTGGGGTGTCTGTCGAACGCTCGCTGGAAGTCCTACGGAACAGACCCCGGGTATCACGTGTCGACCGAGACGCCAACGCAAAGACGCACACAGATGCACGGGAACGCAGAGACGCACGGACACACCTGCCCCTTGAGGATGCCGCTGGGCCCGATGACCTTGTCGAAGATGTGGCGGCCGACGTGCGCGTCCACGGCGGAGAGCGGGTCGTCGAGCAGGTAGACGGACACCTTGCTGTAGACGGCGCGCGCCAGCGACACGCGCTGCTTCTGCCCGCCCGAAAGGTTGATACCCTGGGGAGGGGGGGAGCGAGGGGACGACACGCAGGGGCACCGCGTCGCACCAGTCGGACCGCAGCACGCGATGCGTCACGCTACAGCAGGCACATGGCACCACGCAATGCCACGTCAAGACGCGAAGCCAGATGTCGTGCTACTAGACGGCACGGCAACACGCCATACGGCACACTGCGCGATGTCGCACAGCACCACCACCACCACCACCACGTTATACCACACCAAAATTTACATTTCTTCACCTCATTACGACAACACCGATAGCACAGTTAAATAACATTTAGAACATAGAGCGCGCACGCGCATTTACAAAAATAATTCAGCCCGCTCAGAGGCCTAGGATCTCGCCCGACCTTCTCCCCTATCTCAGTCTGGTCGCCGGCAGGCAGGATGCCCAGGTCGGGCCCCAGGGCGCAGGCTTCCAGCACCTCCTGGTACCAGGCCTCCTCGAAGGGCTGCCCGAAGATGATGTTGTCCCGGAGCGTGGCGTTCTGTATCCACGCCTGCTGCGACACCAGCGCCACGGAGCCCTGCACACGGTCCACGGGACCCAACGTCACCACCGTTAACTCGGCACGCCACGTCGTGCATCCGACTCGCTGGCGACGGAGCTGCAGTGCAATTTTTTAAAATATATATTAGTTACACCCGGGAAAACGTGTGCGAGTGCATCGCTGAGTTTCCAGTTGAGCGCGGTGGCGAGTCTGCTGCGGGTGAGGGCGGTGACAGTCTGCCGGAGGCGAGTGCGGTGGCTGAGTCTGCTGCAGGCGAGTGTAGCCTGCACCTTGACAGCCACCATCCCCTGGATCTTCTCCAGCTCTCCGAGCAGGGCTGACACGAGCGACGATTTCCCACAGCCGACGTGGCCCACAATGGCCACCAGGGAGCCCGTGGGCACCGACAGCGACACGCTGCACGTACGCAAAGATACACAAAGATCCCCCGGTATAGCCTCAGACTCTTGGGGCAAGTGCTGTTAGCGAGCACCTATGAGAAGGCCAACACAGCTCAAGCGGGGGTGGGTGGCCAGCACCATGCCCGGCCGCTTTTGCCTCCCCAGTGGCGATGTTCACACACCACACCGGGTACTCGTTTGAGGCCGAGTCGACCTACGGGAGGCCCAGGACCGGTTCAGATAGTGGTCGGCTTGCTGGGTGTGTAGTGCAGCGCACTAGCCGCTACACTAAAGCTCCCCATACGCTGCAAGGAGACAAAGATCCCCCCCGTATAGCCTTAACAGACTGGAGGAGCAAATCCTGTGAGCAAGTACCTAATATGTAGGCCGGCACGGCGCACGTGGGGGTGGCGCGGCTGGTGTCTCCCCGCTACTGATCATCGCGCAGGCTACTCGCGCATTCAAGGCCGAGTCGACCTATGCGAGGTGTAGGCCCGACTCATATATTCGCCACCGCATTAAAACGTCTACAGAATATGAAAATGCAGAGTATGTATAAAACAGACACGAACGCGGAAGCGTACGCGCACACACACACACACATGCACGCGCGTACACAAGCCGGTCAAAAGGTTCAGAGTGGAGCGAGGCGCCGTGATGACGGCGTGAGCCGCTCTCGAGCACGCGTCGTCAGCGAGGAGTAAAACCCCCACACGGGGCCGGGCGCGTGAACCTTACTTCTGCAGGACGGGTGGCTCCTGCTTGGCCCAGGCGAACGTCCCATCCGTCACGACGATGCTGTTTCCTGCGCGGCGAGAGAGAACAACCGCGGTGATCGCTTACCACGACGTCGTCCGGCACACCGCCCCGCGTGGACTCGTTCAGCGCCCTGGTGAAACACCGTGTGTGTGCGTGCGTGCGTGAGTGCGTCAACGTACGCGATCGAGTGTGCGAGTGTGTGTCTGTTCGCTAACAGCACTTGCCCTCAAGTCTGTTAAAGGCTATATGGGGGAATCCTTGTTTTTGTACGTGCTCATAAGGTAGTGTAGCGGTTAGGGCGCTGTGCTACGAACCCACGACCAGAGTTCGATTCCCGCTCACGGTTCTGGGACTCCCCTTGGCCAACTCAGCCGGGCGTGGCGTTAGCCACCCACCTCCTCGTGTGCCGTGCCAGCATTCATAAAGTGCTCGCCAGCAGCACTTGCCCCAAGTGTGTCAAAGGCTATTACGGGGGACACCTTTGTCCGTGTCTTGTGTGTGCGTGCGTGCGTGCGTGCGTGCGGCGACGAGGTGAGGGGTGGGGCGGGGCGTCCTCACCGTCGGACATGCGGTCGCGGATGACGTTGTGAGGGTCCAGCTCCTCGTTCGCCAGGAAACTCTGCAACCTGTTGAGCGACACGGACGCCTGCGCGCGCGCGGGCACGCACCTCGTCACCGTCAGCCCACCATCCTCATCGCCACGTGCATTGATTCAACACCAAGACGTCACCAACGCGCAAGCCGTTCGTGCCACCGCACCTTGCGCCAACGATTTATTTACACCCTCTGCCAGATCTTGAAACTGCTGCACAGTCGACAAGCCACCTAAAAGATCCCCTCCAACATCTCCCCACCATCTAGAGGTGTAGGACTCAGAGAGCCGCAGGCTCAGATAGAGATCCACACAGACCCATTTTACTTACAGAGAGAGAAGCATCAACTCAGAGACCTACAGACATATATAGAGTAAACCATTTTTTTTATTTTAGCAGGTAAGGCCCACCGAGCTAAACAGCTCTTTTTCAGAAGCGACCGGGCCACAAATTATAGCTCATTGAAGTGGCTTATCACGCGCAATTCACGCGACTACAGGGAGAACACACAAGCTCCAAAAACACAGGGGTCGGAATCGAACCCACGATCTCCTGCATACCAGGTGACGAAGTGGACATCTCGCCACTGTGGCACCCAGATATATATGGGTCTCTATACGAGTCTACGGATCTCTCCATATGAGACCGAATCTCAATATGAGACATGTAGAGCTCCACAGACTCGCACAGATACCCATAGGGCTGCTCTAACAGCATCTCCGACCGTCTGCTTCAAAGATCTTCCCCTTGGGTCACCAGGCTCGAGGAGACCGGCTCCGATGCCGCTCTCAGCGACCGGCCATCCTCGACGCATTCACCATCATCGCCCTCCCGTCATCCGAATCATCTCATTACCATCGTCACAATACCGACGCGCCGGCTCGGTGCTCGGACAGCCCGGGCAGCCCGGGAGGCCCTTCGGTTGAAGCCCCGGCCCTGGCCAGAGCCCTCCGACCCACCTGCACCATGCTGCTGATGACCTGCGGCAGCATGTTGAGAGGAAAGCGCAGGATGTTGAAGAGCGTGAGCGACACGAACGCCTTCTTGGCGTCCAGCACGTTGTTCTCGTCCACCATGACGTAGACGCCAAACGTGGTCAGCGCCACCTGCCAGCGGCAACGGGGAGTGGGGGGGGGAGTAGAGGGGGGGGTGGCGTCACCAACGTCAAAGGAACACCACCATAACCCCCTCCCCTCCCTCTGTGATTCAACCCTTTGGGTGTTGCTGCTGCTGTGTTAGCAGCGGTGCACAAACACAATTATCAACAACAACAAACATAAATCATCACGTTTTGCTTCTTGTGTTTAGTTTGTCGTCCTTCCCCTGCGCCTCCGATCGGCACGGTTGGCTACGTGCGGTGCGAAAGAAGCTCAATGTACATGTGTTGTGCCATAACAAGGCGCTGTAAGTCGCTTTACCTGCCACCACGGTCACGGGGTAAAACCCCCCCCTCGGGTGGCCCGTGACCTGAGGTTGACACCCCAGACCCCCAAGGGCTAGGGGCTGGGGGGGATAGAGACCGCCCACCGATTTTAAAACCCTTTGGGATTTAAGGCCCTTCAAGACCTTCCAGAAGGTTCTGGACGGGGGGTCATTAGGGGAGGGGTAAGCCCCGACCTGGGGATAAAAAGCCGGCCCTCTAAACGGGTCCGGCAGTGTTCGCCAACTCAAGCCTGAAGACGTCCAAGACCTGAAGACTGGACCAGCACCCGGAGAGCCTCACCCGAGGCTCTTGTCAGAGCCGGGTTGTAGCCGACCGGTGGTGGGACCCGTACCCTGGCAGGGTCGGGTCTGTCTGGCCTCCCTTAGCGGCCGTGGCAAGGGACCTGGGTGTAGAGTAGTCCGGGGTGTGTAGGACACACTAGAAGGGAGGCTGGAGCTCCCTTAGGCTATCGGGTTGAAGGGGCCGTACCCCTTCGTGTTACAGTCGCTGTTCGTAGAGTTGTTGAAATAAACGCGTTGCCTCCAGAAGTCGTCTCCGTGTAGTTAGTTAGACACACAACACATACACACGTCAAAAGTCCACTACGGCTATGGGGGGAGGAATCTTTGTCCTTAATCTTTGCGTGCGCACGCACCAGGAAGGGTGCGCAGACCCAGGTGAAGGAGGACACGGCGTTCAAGTACGCCGCCTTCTTCAGCACCTGGAGCTCCTTGTTCCTGATCTCCAGCACCATGTCCTGGAAGGACGGCTCCCAGGCATACAGCTTTAGCACTGGGGAAACAAAGAGACTTTGTGTAGCCTACGCAGACTGTTGGGGAAAGTGCTCCAAGTGACACATCGCACCTGGGACTCATTTGAGGCCGAGTCGACCTCGGAGAGGCCCAGCACCGGTTTAGATAATCATAACTGGTGTTAGCCTCGAGTGAATCGAAACTCAGATCGCCGGGTTCGTAGTGCAGTGTGCTAATAACTACACTACCAATCCCCACAGATGCATATACACATTCGCGTACACACACACAGCAACAACTTTGTTACAGAATGGGTAGAATTCTGGCTCCAAGTGCTGTTACCGAGTGGTTGCGACTGATGAACCACTCATGATTTTTGTAAACATGTGTTTACTAACTGCAGGGGTTGGTAAGCTAGTGGCGCTGTGGATGTAAGATGGAGAGAAGGCTGCGATAAGCGGGGACGCGTGTGCAGGATGGAGGAGGGCAGGCATTGGAGCGGCACTGTGAGGTCGGCGACCAAAGGGTAGAAGGGCCTGTAGCCAGACGGTGCCGACGTAGACGATGAGACTGTGAGAGCGGGCCTCGACGGACAGCGTCAAAATCTAGTGACAACGGGAAGACCTGTGGGCTCGATGGCCGTGGTTGCGATGAGCCTGTGAGAGCGGTCCCTGGAGGTCGGGTGTCGAATTTGCAACGACTACAGGAAGGAAGGCAGGCAGGCAAGCAAGGGAGCGACAGTCTGGTGCCGAGACCTCAGACTTACCCTTGATCCCGTTGAGGATCTCGTTCATGAGTTTGATGCGTGCGTCCTTGTACTTCATCTGTTCCACCTGCGGGCGCCAAAGGCGCGGCGGTGAGCACGGCGCACACAGCGCGCAACACAATGAACCCGCAGCGATTCGAGCGAAGAGTTCAATCAGATATAAACGTTCGTACATTCACTCCCGCACCTCTGATTTAGCGCGGTTGGCTACGTACGGTGCGAAAGAAGTTCAATGTACGTGCGTACTTCGATGTCCAGCGCCCAATCCCCTAGCTCAAGGCTATGACGAAGACGCTACGTTTCGCAGACTGTCGGCAGTAGCTTCACAGTAAGGGGGGCGCGGACGTTGCTTTGCGTTTTCCCCAATTGAGAAACATGTGGATAGCAATTGTACTAAAATTTGGGAAAAGTTTGGACCGTGACGCCGGCACAACATGGGGACGACACCAACATCACAGGACCCCTTTTATTCATAACGTTCGCTGCAACGCAGACGACGCGCATTTATCGTCGATACCACCAGCCACCACTCCCCCTTCCCGCTGCAGAGCGCCAAACGCTCGTCGCAGCTCGGCCACTTCACCGCCCAGTTTATTTTTTAAATTCCGATTCCTTGTTTGTCCCGCTTGGACGGCATCGTGTGGACGGCCTCGTACTCGCGGCCCTGTCTCGTTTGCTCCATTAGTTCAGAAGTCGGTTTAACAAGTAGGAGGCTTTCGCAGCCAATATTATTGATAATAAAGGTTTTTGGGTTAGATCACTTGAGTATAAATGTGTCGTAACCCTCCACCACCCGACACAGCCAATCAGTAAGGGATTTGTCACGTAAACAAAACGCCAATTAGTGACTACTTCAGCCCACCGGTGTGTTGAAGAGTAAATACACATTTACAATTCAAAAGTATCGACTGCAAATGATAATCACCAACCACATATCCTTCCGGCACTCGGTTAGACCCTTATTTCGCAGGCGTCACGGTCAGCTTTCATCCGCGTATCGACAAACGATCACACAGTGCAGCGCGCGAACCAGCCGCTCCGCCGCCTCCCCCTGAACGCACAACTCAACGTCCTCTGCCTTCGCGACGACAACCTTCGGGGAAATTCCACTTCCAAGACGCAACGCAGACACAAAACAGACGGCGGCAGCTCTTCTCTCGCATGCTGCGCGGCCGGGCCGCGAGTTCCCACGCCGCGTGCCCACACCTGCAGACTCCTGGTCTTGACGGCGATGAACGCGTTCACGGGGATGAGCAGCACCATCACGAGCACGCCGGCCAGCACAGACGCGCCCAAGTTCTACCAGAGACAAAGATCCCGCCGGCCCGCCGTGTTAGCGAGTCACGCGCCGTCGGGGCAAGTGCTGTTAAGCGAACACCAATGAAGGCCGGCACGGCACTCGACGGTGTAGGGTGGCCAACATCATGCCCCGGCCGCCTTTGTCTCCCTCAGTGCTGATGTTTATACACACTGCACAAGGTACCCCCCCATTTGAGACCGAGTCGGGCTAGTGGATTAAACAATTCGCCACTGATTGGTCGTGAGCCGGAATTGAACTCGGGCACAGCTGCATTTGTAGCGCAAGTGCGCCAACGACTAAACTAACGCTCCCCAGTTCGACAGGTGTGCACGCACGCACAAAGACAACGAAAATAATCATCATCATCATCATCATATAATACGTGCATTTTGTAGTTACTGAGTAGAAGGCCAAACACTGCAAGCAGCCAGCAACAATCAAGCACGATCAAAGTTGTACTGGATAAGAGTCGACAGGTTTCTTGAATTGCGCGAGGTCATTATTCCAAGAACTTGGCGAAATGATGGGGGGGGGGGGGGGGGGGGGCGGAGAGAATTCCAAAGAGGAGCAGTGCGAGCAAAGGCGCAGGAAGATAAATGTTGCGACCTGCAATGGGTGAGTGGGTGAGTGAGTGTTGTGACCTGCAGAGTTGTGGGTGGGTGGAGTGAGTGTGTGACCTGCAGAGTGAGTGAGTGGGTGGAGTGAGTGTGTTACCTGCAGTGTTGTGACCTGCAGTTTTGTGGGTGGGTGGAGTGCGTGTTGTGACCTGCAGTGTTGTGGGTGGGTGGAGTGAGTGTTGTGACCTGTAGTGTTGTGGGTGGGTGGAGTGCGTGTTGTGACCTGCAGTGTTGTGGGTGGGTGGAGTGAGTGTTTGACCTGCAGAGTGAGTGAGTGGGTGAGTGAGTGTTGTGCCCTGCAGTGTTGTGGGTGGGTGGAGTGCATGTTGTGACCTGCAGTGTTGTGGGTGGGTGAAGTGAGTGTGTGACCTGCAGTGTTGTGGGTGGGTAGAGTGAGTGTGTGACCTGCAGAGTGAGTGGGTGGAGTGAGTGTTGGGACCTGCAGTGGAGTGAGTGGGTCAGTGTTGTTGCAATCTGCAGTATGGCGAGTGAGTGAGTGGGTGAGTGAGTGTTATAACCTGAAAAGTTGTAAGTGTTGTTGTGACCTGCAGTATGGCGAGTGGGTGGGTAGGTGGGTTGCTGTGACCTGCAGTGTGGTGGTTGACCGCAGTGTGGATGAGACGATAGGGTCAGCTCTGGTTGACAACAGTCCGCAACACGGCACCCGCAAGGTCACGGAACATCTCAGAGGGCAACATGTTTAGCCTCAGGGACCCCCTAATGACGACACAAGATGATGGAGCAGTCTCCACGTGGGCTTCAGTCTACCAATTAGGGGCGATGCTGCTATTGCTTAATCCACTTCAATAGAGTTTTTTTTTTAAATTGGCAAATTTAGACCATGACGCCAGCACACTGAAACATTGAGTCAGTACAGCTGGAAGTGACAAAGAAACTTTTTCTCGTGCTCTCCACCTGAGAACTGGGTTCAATCATGGGTCACAGCCGAAACCCAGACTCGAACCCAGGATCTCAGCGATGTGTGGGGCTCAGCGTCTCTGACCTGGCCACGATGTTCAACTACCTTGAACTACCTTCGACTACCTCCAACCCCCCGACCAACTCCACCTTTCCCACCTGACACCCCAAATATTGCTAATTGGGAGACTTGAAATCTACTCAGAGAAGGGTCAAAGGCTGAACGGAGGTCAGGGGGGACTTGGGAGGAGTTTGGCGTGTGGGTGGGGGGGGGGGGAGCACGGCAGGAAGTGCATCACTCAGGATGGGTTCAAAGGCCACACCTGCCACAGGAAGTACATGGCGAGGATGATCTGCAGGGGCGCCGACCACACCATGTTGAGGTACGTGGTGAGATCCATGAAGCGCTGGGCGTCCACGGACATGAGGTTCACGATCTCGCCCACGGTCGAGCTCTTCTTGGCCGCGGTGGTGATCACGAGCGCCTGCCAGGGCACAGATGGCGCGGTGACGCGGCGATGCAAGGGCGGTTTAATTTCGCTTGCGGACAAACCAGCCCCTGCCACCCCGCGCGAGGCATGGCGGTCACAGAGACGGTGCGTGGCGGCAGTGCGGTCGGCTCACCTTGCGGTAGACGGCGCCCGTGATGGCGGTGCGCAGGTGCATGCCAGTGAGGAAGCAGATGTGGAAATACTGGTGCAGGATGAGCATCTGCAGGATGGCGCAGGCGAAGAGCAGCAGCGACAGGAAGTAGCCCTGCCATATGGGCGCCGCGCGGTGCTGAACGAACCCAATGAGCAGGCTGCCGTCGGGAGTGCGGGGTGGGGGGGTGCATAAGAGGGATAGACACGCACGAACGAACACGTACAGACGCACATGCACAGCCAGACATTCACGCACAGCCAGACACGGACGCACAGACCGGACATGAACGCGCGGGGTTAGCAAACATGTGCGCGCAAAAACAACGGTCACCATATGGCCTATGTAGACTGTTGGGGGTGGTGTGGTGAGCACCACGTCGGGCCAACTTAGTCTCCCCGGTCCTGATCTTTTCACACGCCATCAGGTACGGTACAAGCAAGGCATATCCAGGATGCGCACAGACTACAAAAAGATCCCCCCCGTATAGCCTTAACAGATGTGCTAGTGAGCACCTATGAAGGCCAGAACGGTACACGAGGGGGTGGGTTGCCAGCACCACGCCCGACCGCCTTTGTCTCCCTAGTGACGATGTTTACACACCGCACCAGGTACTCATTTGAGGCAGAGTCGACCTAGGGGAGGCCCAGGACCGGTTCAAATAATCGTCACCGGTGTTGGCCGTGAGCGGGAATCGAACACGGGTCGCCGGGTTCGTAGCGCTTACCGCTACACCACCTCTCCTCAAGACCCATCGGCACAGTCACGGCCTGCACCGCTCTGCCGCCGCCGCTGCCGCCGCCGCCGCTCGCACTCCCGGCTCACCTGAGGATCTGCGGCGACACGAAGGTGAGTATGTCCTGTGCCAGCTTGTACACGGAGCCCAGGAGGAACGCGGGCCCGAAGGCACGGCACAGGGCCCGCAGCAGGGACGGCCGGCGCCCGTCCTTAGCGGCACCGGGGCCCATCAGCGTCTGGGTCTCCTCCGCCTCCTTGGCGGCGGCGGCGGCGGCGCCGGAGACCGGCGCATGGTTCGCGGTCTCCGGCAGAGGTTTGCCGGACGAGGCGGGCGTCCCGTTGGCGGCGCTGATCGCAGCAGCAACGACAACAGACCGGAGGGACCACGTGGTCAGCGAAGTGTCTCGGGACGGCTCGGAGGGGGGGCGGGGGGGGGAGGGCTCATTCATATTGACCAAGAGACCCTGGATTCGGATGTCGGTAACCGGTTACGGTTGCCACCTGTCCGGGGTTTGGACCTGGGCAGTGGGGACTTGGCACACACGTTCGGGTGGAATGAACTCGTCATTTGTACCGAGATCTGGTAGTGTTGTGTTGAACACTATTAGGTTACACGATGGGAACAGTTTTGATAGAGGGGTGGGGGGGGGGGGGGTGTAGCACTTTTTGGGGTAAGTCAACAACAACCACAAACAGTGGTCGTCCTACGGATACCCGGCCCCCTACACAATAACGTGGAATTTCCACCACTTGTGGCTCGGCGCCGTGAACGGCGGGTGAGGAGCACCTGGGCGGCCGCGAGTGCTGGCGGCACTCCCGCTCCCACTCGCGCATGAGCCGCGGGACCATCACGGCCGACCTGTCCTCGGGGTTCAGCGACCACAGGTCCTTTGACTCGAGCGGCCTCTGGTAACCGAGGATGGCCAAGCTGCACAAAGCCACACGGGGGAAGGGGGCGGTTAGGGGTGGGGGCGGGGGGGGCGGTTAAATGGGAAGAAGAAGAGGGTCAGAGGTGAGCGAGGGACAGTTGGAGGTCAGAGGTCACGGTCAGAGGCGAGATGTGTCCAGGCAAAGTGAATCAACACAGAGCTGGGCCTGCAGCGCAATAGGCTCATAATGGCCATGTCAAGAGGGCCGAGTCGGCACTGACGAGATCCGGTGTTGGTATCCGGGTTTTGGCCACCGTCGTTAAACCGGAGTTTCTCAGGAAAGGCGATTCATGGTCTCAAACCGGTCAACAATGAGTGTTCATAAATGTCATCCCGTAAAAAATTGTATTCGTAACTTCATTTTGTACGCAATAAACACGCTCTTTGAAGGGCGTGAAAGAGGTGTGCCCATAGTGTGGATAAGAAATAGTTCTGTGGGGTCATCTTCCAAATCCCACGTATAAAAATGAACAACACGGCAGGGAGGAATGAATATTGTAACTTAAAAAAATACTGAAAAATTAACAGCGGGCTGTGAGGTGAGCTTACAAATCGACCTCACCTGGTGAACCACCAGAAGGTGAGGCGAGAAAGGAAGGAGGCACTGATCTCCGGACACGGATTCTGCAAAATAAAACATTCACTTCAGCGTAATTTATTTAATCACGATACTGCGCCTGTGTTAGTTTACGGGTCCTGTCTAAGTCTACGGGTCCCGTGTTGGTCTATTGGTCCTGTGTTGGTCTATGGGTCCCGTGTTGGTCTATGGGTCCCGTGTTGGTCTATGGGTCCCGTGTTGGTCTATGGGTCCCGTGTTGGTCTATGGGTCCCGTGTTGGTCTATGGGTCCCGTGTTAGTCTATGGGTCCCGTGTTGGTCTATGGGTCCCGTGTTGGTCTATGGGTCCCGTGTTAGTCTATGGGTCCCGTGTTGGTCTATGGGTCCCGTGTTAGTCTATGGGTCCCGTGTTGGTCTACGGGTCCCGTGTTGGTCTACGGGTCCCGTGTTGGTCTACGGGTCCCGTGTTGGTCTATGGGTCCCGTGTTAGTCTATGGGTCCCGTGTTGGTCTATGGGTCCCGTGTTGGTCTACGGGTCCCGTGTTGGTCTACGGGTCCCGTGTTGGTCTATGGGTCCCGTGTTGGTCTATGGTTCCCGTGTTGGTCTATGGGTCCCGTGTTGGTCTATGGGTCCCGTGTTAGTCTATGGGTCCCGTGTTGGTCTATGGGTCCCGTGTACGTCTATGGGTCCCGTGTTGGTCTATGGGTCCCGTGTTGGTCTATGGGTCCCGTGTACGTCTATGGGTCCCGTGTTGGTCTATGGGTCCCGTGTTGGTCTATGGGTCCCGTGTACGTCTATGGGTCCCGTGTTGGTCTATGGGTCCCGTGTTAGTCTATGGGTCCCGTGTTGGTCTATGGGTCCCGTGTTGGTCTATGGGTCCCGTGTACGTCTATGGGTCCCGTGTACGTCTATGGGTTACGTGTTATTCTGTGGACCCAATGTTGGTCTATCAGGACACCACGGGGCCTTGTCAATAAGCAACCATGACAGGACCACAGTCAAGCACAGAAGCAACAACTGCTGCAGCAGCCTCGGTTGTCCTTCCCTCGCACCTCCGATTAGCACAGTTGGCTACGTACGGTTGCAAAAGAAGTTCAGCATACATACGTTCCAGGATCGATCTTTCTCAGTCATCGCAGGAAACGTTCAAATAATAGACATCCTCTCAAAAAAAATTAAAAGCTGGAAACCCCATTGTCTTCCGCTGACGAAAGGCTCCCATGGAAAATCAATCAGACAGCCCAGCGCTAAATAACCATAAAACACACACACACACACCGCAGACTTCACAGTGGATGCCAAGCAGTCCCATCATGGTGCAGATATCTCGAATGTGGAAAAAAAAATGCAAATTACTTAATTGCAAAACACACAGCTAGTGAGTCTCGGCCGCCCCCCCGCCCCTCCCCCCCCCCTGCCACTGCGAAAGCTTAGGACCCTCGTGACAAAAATCACGCCGGAGGCCCAGTGAGGCTTGTGTGTGTTAACTGGTGCGACAACAATAGCAGGGACAAGAAGAAGAACGACGATAATCGAAGCAGCCCTTACGGGGTCCTTGATGACGCGCGAGAAGAGGGGCGGTCGATCCGAAAACCAGGACAGCACGAACTGCACGCACACCAGCACGAAGTAGACGTAGAACGTGGCGTATCGGAACCGGTCCACGTCGGGATCCTGCAGGGCGGACATCATCGTCATCGTCAATATCGGGGCGAGACCGTGATGGTGATGGGGTGGGTCAGCTGGTGATATAGCTCGTGGTGGCGAGATGTTAATTACCCCACCTGGTATACACGAGGTCGTGGGTTCGAAACCTGACCCTGACGCCTGTTGTAAATTTGGAGTTTGCGTGTCGCTCTCTTTGTGGTCGTAGGGATTTTTCTCCGGGTCCTCCAGATTTTAACCCCGCATTAAGAATTAACATTTGTTTAGAGTATTTGGCTGCTATGAATGTAAAAAAAATGTTTGGTTTATACGAGTCTGTGGGGCTCCGAGTGCAAGACCAGACGGGAAGAGATACTGTTAGAGCAGATCTATGGGTGCGAGTCAATGAGTCTCCGAGTACAAGCGTCTCCCCATATGTAGTTTGTTAATTACGATTATGATACAAACAATAACGACGTAGAAACCAGTGGTAGAAGGGGGGGTTGGTGGAGCGGGGGGGGGGGGGGGGGCGGCCGTCTCACCTCACGCGCGACAGCCAGGATCTTGGAGCGGAAGGGCACGATGCCGCACACGAGCGCCAGCAGCCAGAAGACGAGCAGCACCCCCGAGGACTGCACGCCGCGTAGCCGCTCACGCTGCACCAGCAGCGCCGCCAACAGCTGACCCGGGGGCGGGACGGGGACAGCAGGGGCAAGGCCAGACGAAAGGGTCAGAGGTCAAAGGTCAGAGGCTTAGGGTTGGGGTTACGGTTTGGGTCAGAGGTAATGGTAGGAGTTAGACATTGAGTGAGGGATAGGTGTTAGGTTTGGGTAAAAGGTTCAGTTAGGGACAGGGTAATGTTCATGCCAGGAGTAATGTTCGGGGTTAAAGGTGAGTTAGGGTTAAGGTTATAGTTAGGGGTAGCCGTTAAATCTAGCACCGGTCTTATGGTCAAGGTTTAGAGATAACACAAGTGCGAACGTGAGCGTTACATTAAGCGTTGGTGTTACAATTTTAACCTAGCACCAGGGTCGGCTTTACGCCGTTTCGGTCAAGCATCGACGGAAACGCGAGCAATAGTTGGTTCATGGGTTCACGCCGAAGGTCCGCTGCTCCCACGGCAACGCACCACGGTGGCGCCCATGACGAGCGGGCTCACGAGCAGCACGGGCGGCCGCCGCCGCCCCTGGTCGCGCTCCCACATGGTGTAGAAGAGCTCGGTCCAGCACACGAGCCACAGCACCGCCGCGATGACCTGCGTCGCGCCAAACAACCACACGCGGCACCTCCCGTCGTCACGCGGAAAGCGGAAAAACTCGCGAGCGCATCGTCACACCGCGCGCGCGGTCGTCCCCGTTATCGCCGTCCAAGCGTTGTCATCAGATAAACGCCCGTCTCCATCATCGTCATCGTGGCGGCGACGACGCGGCGCCGTTGCTGCAGAGGTTCGCCGTTCGTGTCCAACGGCCGCCCCCCTATTATTACCGAGGTGGTGCGACAACCGTGAAGCTACTGCGCGCCCGTCTGCTTTGCAGTGGACGTTAAAGATGCCAGGACGACATGAACAAGAGCGGACCACTGTGTGCTTCAACGGACTGTTGGGGCAAGTGCCGTTAGCGGGTAGCACCGATGAAGGCCAAAACGGCACACGAGGGGGTGGGTGGGTGGCCGGCACAAACACCCAGCCGCCTGTCTCCCTGGTGGCGGATGCTCATGCACCGCACCAGGTACTCCTTTAAGTCCGATGTGTTGGCCGGGTTCGTAGCGGAGCGTGCCAACTGCTCCAACTACTGCTCCCCATACACAGACTGACAGCCACACACCTACACCGACTGCCAACCGGAGCAGACAAGAGACGAAAGGGGGGGGGGGGGGGGGGGGGGTGAGCGAGAAGTCGTACGGTCTTGGCGCGGTTAAGGTGCGTGCACTGGATGTATCCGCGGTTGTGTCGGCGCAGGTGCAGGTAGTAGAGGGGAGCGGCGGCCCAGAGGTAGGCGCAGGGGATCCACACGAGCACCGTGTTCTGGAAGCACGCGGTGAGGTCCGGGGTGTGCGTGTCCAGCGTGCGGTTCCGGTCCTACAGAGCATGGGGTGGCATCGCAATCAGGAATCCGATGAGCTATAAACGCCTTCTCACAGATGTCCAGTAGGGGGCAGGTCAGAACGTATTTTCCCGCATATAGCCCGCATACACATATACCCCGCAAAAATAGCGTTTTGTGTAAAAAAAAATTCAGATAGGCCGCACCTCCATATACCGCGCATGCATTCATATCTTTAATGTCGTTACCGCAGCTTAATTCCATCATATTAATACGAAGTTTACATTTGTAATACATTCCATTATCAATTGTTAACATTAAAATCATAACGTGCACAAAGAAAATAAACTAACCGGAAACGAGTGAACTTAAAACAGTAAATAAGTAACAAAAGTAAATATCCAATAAATAAGTAACACATAACTGGTAGATGAGTAAGTACAGCCGTCACCTCACCCCCAACCCCTCTCCCCCCCAGCTCTCCCGTTCCCGGTAAACAAAGTGCGACCACTTCAAACATCAAACATTGTCGTTTCATTGTACAAACAATTTGAATAATTTAAAACGTGATAACGTGCAATTTTAGTGCCGAGAGGTTTATTCAGCAGTGCTTTAGTCAAAGGTAAGTGTTGCATAGTGGATAGTCCTACCATTAAAAAAATGTAACGAGTCATGACATGTCACACGTGTAAAATATTTTTGGGATAGCCCGCACCTCCATATACCCCGCAGGGTCTTGTTTTGTTTGTAAAAAGTGGTATACCCCGCGGGTTATATGCGGGAAAATACGGTAATACAAAAATCACGATAGGAGTGCAAATTATAGGCAAGGTAAGCAAACCACAGAAAAAATATATACAAATAAAAAAACATTTTTAATGTCACCAGTTAAGGCCCACCGAGCCATTCGCTTATTTTTCAGAAGCAACCTGGCCACAAACGAGTACATTTCTCCACAAAGTGACTTGTGGAGAAATGTACTCCAGCAAAATAATCTCGATGCACGTTTCCGAATGTGGAGGGAAAAAAAACGGAAGAAAAAAATCCACGCGAACCCCGGGGAGAAGATGCAAACCCCAAATATACAGGTGTCAGGGGGTCGGGGCGTAGAGCGGGGGGGCAGGAGACTCCGTCGCACGGATGAAACGACACAGTGACGATACAACATCACATCACCACCGATGTTACCGTCAAGGTCATCTTCCTCAAAGTCATCATGTACACACGGAGACCGACGTCTCTCAATGATCGTCGTCATCATCATCATCATCCACCATCACCTAACTGTCTCTGCGTCGTTTTTTCATCATTCACTGTCTATAATAAACTATCAGGAGAACTCGTCAAGATCACCACCAGGCAGTCTCCAGGTTTACACTCTCAAGTGGTTTTCGGTTGGGTCCCTCAGTTACCTTCTCTGTGTTTAGCAAACTTGACAAATGCAGCCGTTTGTTTTGCTCTTATTTATATTTCTCTGCACAAGCCGCGGTAATAGGGTACACACCAGCACAATCGCGGATAAGAGGGTACACACACCAGCACCGTCGCGGATAAGAGGGTACACACACCAGCACCGTCGCAGATAAGAGGGTACACACCAGCACCGTCGCAGATAAGAGGGTACACGCGCCAGCACCGTCGCGGATAAGAGGGTACACACCAGCACCGTCGCGGATAAGAGGAATTCCACCACACGCGCGATGATCACCCAGAACAGACCACCATGGGACATCTAATGACTCAACGCCCGATCCACAAATACAAACTGTTAAACTACTTCAACTACTTTTTAAACTATTTTTATTTTACAAGGCAAGGCCCACCGAGCGATATAATTATTTTTCCACAAGCGGCGACCTGGCCACAAATTACAGCTCCACAAAGTGGCTTATCATGTAGAAATGTGCTGCAGTCAAATACTCTAAACGCGTGTCGATTCTAAATTATGGAGCGAAATACTGGAGGACCCGGTGAAAAGTCCAGACGACAAACGGGGAGAACACGCAAACTCCAAATATACAGCAAGCGTTAGGGTCGGGATTAAACCCACGACCTCCTGCATACCAGGCGAGGTAGTTAACATCTTGCCAACGCGGCAATGCAACACTACGCTACTCCTGACCGCAATCATCTGGAAAAACCACATCAATGTCAAATTGCACTTAATTTTATTCAGACTTTCACGAACAACATTATTATTCACGATTTCTTTCTTTTGGGTTTGTTGGCCGTGTAAACACACGTGTTGTAAACCATTCCTCCGCGCGACACGGCCAATTTATAAGTGTCGCGCGAGATCCGAGCTTCCGCATAACAACCTGACGATGGCTGGATGTAACCTCCAGCTAAACGTCGGTACCCATTTAAAAGTTGTCAGATTACTTTCCAACAAAAACGATGACGACGATGATAACGACGGCGCTATTCCTAAGAAGCAGCAATGTTTGCACGTTTTATTCACGCGGCACTTTTGTCAATTGGCTGTGCTGGGTGGGGAGAGGATGTACAACACGCGCACAATTTTTCTTTTTTTAAAAACACGACGACCTAACCTCAAGGAAAAAAACGATTACAAATTAAAATTAACGTCAACGGCAGCCGTACACAAGAAGGATGAAAAAGAAGACCGCACGACTTCCCACCCCCTCCCCTCCGCCTCCCGGGGAGGTGTTTCATTGTTATTTTATAATCGGGAGGGGATAGCATCTCCGTCAGCGTGAAGCGTTAAAACAATTACCAACGCAGCAAAGCATTGCGACCCTACGCACCGCTGTGGCGAGGTCTGTCACACGTCGTTCGTTACCCCGGCCCGGCCGTTTGACCGGGGAAACGGACGGCGTGTGACACACACACACCTGTGTGCAACAGGTGCAAACTGGCGTCTTATCTTTATGGTCCTAACGTCTTATCAACTAAGGGGCACGGCTTTAGGAACACTAATGACGTGGTTTTTCTCTCTTCCCTCCGCGGCGTGTGCGTGTATGCGGAGCGGAAATTTAAGTCGGTGGTGCCCTGCGCCGCTAACCCGGCGACAACACCAGTGACGATTATGTGAACGGATCCCTTGGCCTAAACCCTAGGTCGACCAGGCCTCACATGAGTGCAAACATCGCCACTGGGGAGACAAAGGCGACCGGGCGTGGTGCTGGCCACCCACCCCTCGTGTGCCGTGTCAGCCGTCATTAGGTGCTCACCAACAGCAGCTGCTCCAACAGTCTGTTAAAAGGCTATACACGGGGGATCTTTGGAGCGGAAGTGTAGTAGATCACGTCATGCGCTACAAACCCAAGACATGAGTTTGATCTCCCGGGCTACGGATAACATCAGTGCTGAAAATATTAAACCGGTCCTGGTTTGACTCAGCCCAAAATTAATACCTGTTGGAGTGTGCAAACATTGGCACTGCCAGGCATGGTGCTGGCCACTAAAAACGCATTCAGCGCTGTGCCAGCCTTTACAGCTGCTCACGAACAGCGCTTGCCCGGGTGATCTTGTCACACGTGTGGGATGTGATGGTCGATGTGGCTAGCCCACTGCACCACGGTACAAGCTACCTGGGGTTCGTTCCCTGGCCGTACAAAGCAGTGGAAAGTGATGGCGAAAGGTCCGATTGAAGTGCTGGCACCCATTAGAGAAGCTACTTGTGACACGAGTTTGATTCCCGGCCACAACTAATATTAGTGGAAAGTGTTGTCCGAACCAACCCTGGCCACCACCCCGTGCCCCCCAAAAGACAAAGATCCCCCGTTTAGCCTTACCAGACTGTTGGGGCAAGTTCTGTTAGCGAGCACCTACGAAGGCTGGCAAAAGGCACACGAGGGGGTGGTTTGGACAACACCACGCCCCATCACCTTCGTCTCCCCAGTGGCGATGTTTACACACCACACGAGGTACCGACCCATGCTGACCATCGTGATGAAATATCGTCAAACAACCCTCGTGACGAACACGGTGGGTACTAGTGGAGGTGTTCATTCAGAATTGTATGCACAAAGGCCTTTCTATTCTTACGTCAATAATTATCTCCCTCGCTCTTTTTTTTGTTTTAAACAAGATTCGCAAAAGAAAAAGTGAAGGACGGAGCACGGGACGGGGGAGGGGGGGTCCGAGGGCTTAAACATCTCAGCTGCACGTGATTAAACGATCGCTGCACCACGTTCAAACAAGACATCCGTGTCATGCACACACACACACACAGCGTGCTCACCACCTTCTGTTGACCTTCTGCTCTCTCCGCTGCCCAGCGGTCGTTCCACGAACCTTGGCCTTGGCACACATAGATGTTTGTTTTTTGGGGTGGTGTTTGTTTCCATGCCTGTCATTTGAATCTCTTGATGGTTGTAATGGCATTGGCTTGCGAATTTTTTTGTTTTAGGTCTTCTCACCACAGGTGCCTCCCGCTAATGCCCCAACCGCCCTGGAATTCCATCGCTTCAAATTGTGTCCCCGGTTACTTTCCCATCTAACGCACAGCCTGATGCTTAAAACGGTCGACTCTTTACGATAACTGCACTTGCAATTGCATTTGATGTACAGTAAAACCTTGGGTTGCGAGTAACTTGGTCTGCGAGTGTTTTGCAAGACGAGCAAAAAGATTTAAGTAAATATTAATTTGATGAACGAGCGAGGTCTTGCAATACGAGCAGTACGTATACGCTTTGTCTGCCGAGCGTCACGTGATCACAACTGATATACGAGTGCTTTGGATTACAAACACGTTTCCGGAACAAATTATGCTCGCAATCCAAGGGTTTACTGTACCTCCTGGCTCGTTTACATGTTCGTACGATAAGTCACCCTATAATTGCTTAATGCGTCACGTTTCTGAGGCTTAGTTTTTGTATCTTGTGCTGGGACCAGACCCAGGCGTCATCTGCCCGAGCCGATTTGTGCCGCTGGGATTAATGGAATACTTTCTCGAATGCTCACGTGGTGCACTCATTTTAGGGGTTTTTTTCCTGATGTCAGTTCGTGTCATTGCAATACTTTGCCTTGCTTTGCTCTGGTCATGTTAGTGACCCAGGTTCCGATTGCG